TAGAGGGAGGAAAGGGCACATGTAAGGGTCTTCTATACTTCCATGTTGCATGTGATTCAGAAAACTCAGCAAGCCACATTTTAAGCAGAGAAGCTGACACAGATCTGTGCTTCATTAAAAAAAAAAAAAATCCACCTTGGCTGCAGTGTAGATGACATGGAGGTCAGGAGATGAATTATTTTTGAAAATGGAAGATGTTCTCCTTATCTGAATCTACTTCCCCTAGGCTTGGTCATAATAGGCAAGATAACAAACCATTTGGAGCAAAATTTTCATCCACAGATGAATTTCTTCTATTGTCAACATAAGAGACAAATCATCCCATGGTTTCAGCTTACATTGGGGTGAAACATGGCACAGGATTTATAATCACAGGATTTCTTTGGTTGTTCGGGGAAGGCAGGGATTGCTATGAGGTGGAACCCAGGAGCCCTTATTAGGGAATGTGGAGACCCCAACTTTACAACCTAGACTTGACTGGGTCTGTGGCTTGGATGAGTTACTTCTCATCTCTGGGTATCATTTCTTCCATCAAAAAAACAAAACAAAAAACACAAACAACAACAACAACAAACAAACAAAAAAACCGAGGAACTAAATCATTCCTTGGGTGCCTTCCAGCTCTGAAATCAGTAATATGAGTTTTGTCAGCTGGTTTTAGAATCATGTGGCTCTCATTTTGGATTCTGCCTCTGTCTTCTGGCTGCATGATTTGGATCAGTTACTTAAGTCCTCTAAGGCTAAGTGTAAAATGGTGATAAGAAAACTATTCTTGCAAGGTTGCTGTGGGAATTAGATACGATACTGTACATAAAGCTCTTAGTACAGTATCAATGTATAAATGTGTGGCTATTATTATAAATAAACTTCTAAAGTGAAGCTGGATAACTAAAGAGACTAGGGAACAAGGAAATTCAGTCCTAGATCACAGGACAACATGGAATTAGAGAAATTCAGCCACATGTGAAATCCTTTCTGCCTCAGACCAACCAACATAAAGGGCATGAGACTACCATGCTAACACTGTGATGGGGCGCCTTCTAGTGGCTACATGTAGACATTGACATTTTCATTAAAATGATTGAACAAGTGTGGCTTTGTGGACATATAGATAGACAAACAGGGGGGATTTGGGGGCTCTTTAATCTTAGGTAAAGCTAATAAAGCTAATCTTAGAGAAAGATAGTAAAGTCTCATTAATTACCTCCCTCCTAAGAGTCATTCCTTAGTCAACTTTTCCATAAAAAGACATGTTCTTGGCATTTATAAGAAAAATACTGCAGTTCTAAAAGAGAAAATTACATTTTAAATTAAAACATAAATTATTCTGAACACTTGAATTGCACATAAAATCTTTAGGGTAGTTCTTTATGCCATTAAATTGAAAATAATCTTAGAGAAAGAAATCACCCAAAAAACCATGCAATAGCACTTGTGTTAAACAGAAGGACTAGGGTCTTTCCAGAGGTAACCCTGCAACCAAGTTGACCGTATGACTTTGGCCAAGTGGCTTCATTTCCATGGACCTCAACCTTCTCACGTTAAAATATAGAACTCTAAACCCAAACATCTCCAAGGTCTTTCCTAGCTTTAGTATTTCTTTGATTTGAGAGGAATGTTAATTCTGCTTTAATATAAAGTATCAGACTTCAAAGAAAGTTGATCTCAGTTTTCCTTTTTGAACTTGCAGTCCCAATTATAGTAATTTAATGCCATTTAGATAAGTGTTTTTAACATTTTATAAAATCAACAAAGGCCATCTGGAGTAGAGATGGCTAGTCACTAACAAAGATTCATGTTAATCTCCCATTGTGTAGAACTTTGTGGAAAAACAGCTGTCCAATCAGGGCTGCATTTAGCTGTTCCTTTTGCATCTGGGTGGAAGTGTTTTAGTAGTTTTGGCCAAAGGAATGTAAGCAAAAAGTGTGTATTTCCAAGCTGAAGTAAAGAATCAGGTGTGTGATTCTCTGTTCTTCCTCTTTCCTCTAATGGAACACTTGTGTTACTTGGGGTCACAAGAGGGCTTGAATTACCTATCAGAGATGAGCCACCCATGAGAGCCACCCAATAAGGAGCACCTGCACTGGATTTTGTGTGAGTAATGGCTCCAAACATTGGGGGTGGTTTGTTATAGCAGCTAGTTTAAAATGTCCTGATACACTGTCCAACTTCATGATGCTGGAATCCAATTTGAGGCACTGCATTAAAGCAAACTCATCTCTCCAACTGATTGCATTAAAACAAATTCTGAGAAGGAGAAAAGTGAGGGAGAACTGGGAAAAAATCAAAATAGAAAAAGATTAGTCTGGTCTTTATTCTATGATTAAGAAAATAGCTTTGTTCTATTGAAAAGATTTATTTTTTTTTGTTATTAGCTTTGCATTATTGTGACCAAAATGCATGATAAGAACTTAGAGAAGGAAAAGTTTATTATATGTTTGGGACTCATGGTTTCAGAGGTTCAGTCCCTGGTCTATTGACTCCATTGCTCTGGGCCTCAGGTGAGGCAAAGGTGTGGCAAAGGGAAACTGCTCAGTTCATGGCAGATGGGAAGCAGAGAGGAAGGGGCCAAAGGCAAGATATCATCCCCATGGGCAACCTCCAAAGATACTTCCTTTATCACGCCCCATCTGAACCACCCAATAATTTATTCATTCACTGATGAGGTTACAGTTCTTGTCATTGCCTACAAGCCCCACCTTCTTTCTGCACCGGGGAATCATAATTTAAAAACACAAGGTTTGGGGGAGACATTTTTAGATCCAAACCACAACAGTTACACAAAGAAGTCTGATGTGTACTCTCTTTCTACCTAGTTACCAGTGAGTATAGAAGGCACAACTCTTGCTGATTATACCATGTGTGTTAGAACAGAAGAAATTTCAACAATCACCAATCCAGGTAACAAGAGCTAAGGAGTTAACGTGCTTTCTGAAACTTTCCAATTCTTCTGCATCTGGGGGTGATATTGTTAATGGGGGGGGGGGGCGGGTGTATGGGAAAATCATTGGTTACACCCAGTAACAGACAGTAGATAACTAATGTCTTGGTTTTGACAATAGGAAAAATATGAAAATATGGAGGACAAAAATGAGCATTTTATTTAGTTACTTCTTTCTGAAAATGGAAGACACTAAATTAACATAAATAACATTCTATGGAAAGATTTTCTTGAGAATCAGTGATGTAGACAAATATAAACAAGAGTCAAAAAAACCATCATAGTACAAACAGGACTGCGGGACTGATACTGGGAGATGGGAACATCTGACCCAGTTATAGAAATGAAACCCAAAAGCACGAACACACAAAAGTTTTAATTAGCAGCTTTGCCTCAAGGAGAGAGAGACAGCACTGATGGAGATCAGGTTGCTCAAAAAACAGAGAAAGGGGACAAGTTTTATTCATGTGTAGGGGGTTGCCTAAGTGAGCTAGAATTAGAATTTCTTCCCTGGTCAAACATCCTGACCAAGAGGAATGGGCAGTCATTTTATTCCAGGAACTGCTGTTTCTTCTGTTGGTGTTGCAGCCTGCACAAACGTCTTGGCCTTGTGGTAAGGTTGGGCTTTTGTAGCTACTGAAGGCACGTGGGTGGGGGTAGTTCATGTTTTTAATGACTGACAGGTTAAGGGACCAGGAGTTAGTTTGTCTTTTGTAGTGATCCTTAGCAGTCTCATTCTCCCATGTAGCTTATTTTGTAGGTGTTACTGCAAAGGCGTCCTAGCTTTTCTGATGCCCTAGTTGCTGTGGTTGACAAAACTCTGGGAGAGTGAGGTAGGCAGGGAAGAACATAGACTATACTTTTAATGGGTAATAGATCATGAGTTAAGGTCTAGGGAGTACATTTGCCTTTTGTCCCCAAGGTGGTGCTGACTCAGGCCAATGCTGGCCTCTAAAGCCACAGGCTGAATAAAATGCTGTCCACAATCAGAAAATTACAAGTGCTTAATTAGCAAGAATCCATAACAACTCTACAGAGGAATGAACTTCTAATGAAATAAATGCCTCACGGAGTTAAAACTCTCAGGATTTCATTGTACTTTACAAACTAACATTATTTTTAGTTAGGTACCTGAGTTTAAATTGGTTCTGTAAGTAAGATGAAATGTCTATACTACTATGAGAAAAATCAGCTTATAGGAATTAAATTTTTCTCTGACACTAACAAAGGGTACAAAGCTCTTATCTAGCAACTAAGCTTCTAGGAATCCATTTTGAAAGTACTGATAGAGGGCAAAACTATTTTTTTTCCCATAGAAAAATGGAACAACCTTAAGTTCTTTTGTAAACTGATCAAGTCAATTATGACAAATTTGTACTGTAGAATGCTATGTAACTACTGCAAAGAATGAATAATCTGTGTGGATATGGAAAGATGTTCCTGAGGAGAGAAATACTGACATTAAAGATGGGATCTTGTTTTTTTATACATTTCTTATATGCCAGAAATAAAGACTGAAAAGTTAAAAATCAGAGTTAATATTGATTTTAAGGTGAGATCTGTATTTTATACTTTCTATAGCTTAATTTAGTTGGTTGACTGTGTGCTGCTTTCATATATCCTACTTTGATCAAAATATTCTCATTGTTCTAATACATGCACACCTACACTAAGATAAGGTCAAGTCTCTCTTTAACATTGTCCCTCGAACGTCATTTAACCAAATCCTGCCAGGGACCTCTTCCAAGAGACTGATCTCATTGCTTAAATTACAGAGCACTCTCTTGTCTAACCACCCTTTATCCTTAAAGTTTCTCACAGGCATTTATAATCAATTCCAGCTTGTATCTGAGCATTTAGCTATTGGTGTTCTTTTATGTGTTCTCTCCCTTCTTAGGTAATAGGCTTCTTTAGGGAAGAAATCAAGATTTACTCATCTTTGTGTCCCCTACTATGTTCAACATAACAGATGTTCAACAAGTGGTTACTGAATTAATGTTTTTCTTTTTGCAATTCCATATGCATAATATTGCTAATAATTTAGAGACCAAATGACTAATTGTTTTCAAAATTTTATTTACACTGAATACTCAGTATTTTCCTTTAATAATTTTATCAGAAGATAAAATTCCAAAACTTAAAATCAGATATTTTATAGTATGTCACAAATGAGTATGGAAGGAACAGTTTAATCATTTTTGAGAAAGCCTTTTGTAATTCTACAAACACTAATATTTACAATAATCTTTAATATAGATATGTACAATATGGCATTATATTTAAATTTATGAAATAGTTTAAATCATTAATTTTGTTACAGAACATTCCAAAATTTAAACTAATAAAAAGAATCCAATAATACTGGCAACATTTGGGAAAAACATTAACAAGAGATTTGTCAAAAGTCATGCAATACGTCCAGTAAACTTACACGCAATTACACATGTCAAATCCATAAATTTAAAGGCATATGATTGACTTAAAACATGCTAGAATCCAAATACAACTGTATAATTCATAGACTGAAACAAGTGCTTTGTGGTAACCTATAAAATAGGTATACAAACTGAAAGCATTTGAATAGACTTCATAATTCCTAAGAGACTATCCTAGGAAATCTCAATGACAGCAAATCAGGCATTTTCTCCTGAAGTTAAAAGTTCTTAGGAGTATATTCATAAACATTAACAGAGGAAAATAGAAACAACTCAGGTTTTATGAACCAATTTTACCTATTCAAATTTAGTTCCATATAGAACCCTAATCATAACCACAGCTTCTCTGGGAATTTTCCTTTTCTCCTGATTTTGTGGGAATATATTTATTACCTCCCCTATTCCGGAAGGATTTAAGGTAGAAGACAGATTCAGAAATACCAAAAAGTACAATAATAAGATAAACAAAAAGAAAACAGAGTTTGGGGATTAGCACTCATAAAAATATTTAAGAAAAGGTCAGGAAATAATAACCAAAAAACTGTGTTACATTATTTTCTCATATTGACTTCCTGAAAAATTTTTGAGAAAACAAATTACTGGTGAACTGGAGATGTGGATCAAATTTCTTTGTTCAATTTTGTTAATATTGATGGAGCACATGATTATCAAAATATTGTGTGCTGTTTTTGTGCTTCACTAAAAGAAGTTTTTCTTACTGCCATACTATGTGACACTAGATTTAGTCACATGGTAGAGGAGAATGCTGGTGAAAAACAAAATGTGGGTACACTGACTCGATTCCCACTGAGAAATCCATCAGCTGGGTACCTGTTGGTGACTTGTACATAGGTAGCTACAAATCAAGTGGCCAGACAAAGATGGTTCTTCTTTGGCCATGGGACAGAGCACCAATTCTAGGCCTTATGACTGTAGCAGCTTATCCTCCAGCTCCCTTGTTAGGACCCAGCAAAGTAAATGGGAAGAAGTTAAAGTAAAGAGCAGGAGGCTGACTCAGGTTGGTATGGTGAGGCCATAATCTCCTCTGCTGCCCAAAGAGCAGCAGGGATTCTGATGGTGCTTAGAGTGCATATTACACAGACCACTCCTGTGGTTGGGGAAGGAAGAACATTCTGGAGAGTAGGCTGAGGCAGCACACTAAACAGTTTCAGGGAAATATGAATAGGTCTATTTATCTTTATTCTATAGGCACAGATTTCAATAAATGATAAAAGATCTTGTATGTAAAAGAGCTAATTAGTAAAAGCAGCAAGGATAAAGGAAAGGACTTAGGGGAAGTAGGGAGAAAAGAAAGGCAGTAGGCTGTTCTCCTATGAGGTGTGGCACAGGTTTAAAACTAGATTAAGGACCAAATTTTAGTCTAATGACTAAAATTAACTATTTGCCTTCTTTTTTGAAGATGAGTGTTCCTAAGCAGTACTGCTGAGTTTTGGTTAGGCTGGGATTCTTCCTAACCCAACTTCATTCCTATGAAGTTCAAGTCTAACAATCTGTAAAAGTGGGAACTGCAGTGCTCTTGAATGGGGTGGCAATGACTACTCTAGCCCAATGATACCCTTCAGAACACAGACAGGGCCAACCTATCCAATTAGCAATGCCTCAGGTTCACAATATTCTGAAAGGCCCACAAAAATGTTTTCACATTTTTTTAACTTAATGAAAAAAAAAAAAGAAATTTACCATTAAAACAAAAACAAAAACAAACAAAACAAACAAACAAACAAAAAAAAACCCCAGAAAAAACCATTTTAAACCTAAATCTAAACAAATTCATTTTATACAAACATAATTTTAAAATACAGTTTTAAAATTTGTACAGGAGAAGGGGTGCAAGAAAGCAAAGTACTGGGGAGGCTGAGGCACTAAGCAACTCAGTGAGACCCTGTCTCTAAATAAAATATAAAATTGGGCTGGGGATGTGGCTCAGTGGTTGAGTGCCCCTGAGTTCAATCTCTGGTACATCCCCCCGCCCCCCCCAAAGAAGGCAAAGTACCTGGGGCAGAGAAAATTCATCAGATACCTCTAACCAACTGTAGAAACTGAAGATCATTTAAAAGGATTACAATCTGTAATTAAAAAGACTGTTCTCTCAAAGAACAATGGTTCAAGGTTAAAATAATGGAGGGTTAAAATAATGGAGGAAGAAAAGAAAGAGAGTCTGATATTACTGGTCTTGTTTCACTGATTTTTCTTCTTTTGAATATTTCTTTGGAATTTGATTTTTAAAGAAAACTGTTTAATATTGAAGAAGTACTTATATCAATCTTCATTAGCCAAGCCAGAAAAAGAAACAAAGTTAAGCTCATTATCTTATAATCATGTGCAATAATATTAAATAACAGACTCAGGATGAAGAGACCTGGATATTTTTGAGTTCCTTTTCTACTTCTGGAAACATTATTAGAGGTGGGTTTTTCTTTTGGAGTCGGCCTCCTGAATTTCCTATATTACAAGTTCTCTCAATTCTAGGCTTCCTCTTTGCTTCTCCAAAGCCCTGGCTGCAACTGCCTAAGGTTGGTGGTATGTTTAGAATATGAGAAGAGAATAAAGGAAGCAAGCAGAATGACTAGGAAAAGAGAAGAGGAAAACAGTAAATTTTCTGTATTTAAAAAATATTTTATAAGACAAAAATACTTAATGTAAATACTAATACTATAAATATTGTTTTAAAGTTATTTTTTAAATTGTTCTCTCAAGGCCCTACACTATGACAATTACCATCCTTGAGTTCCTTATAGTACTGGATTGGTTAGTAAATATGGTTAACCATTGACATTTAGAAGCCCAGAGTTGAGAACAGTACTTTTAACATTTTCTATCATCCAAATTCATCAGGATTATAGGGATATATATCAATCCAGAGAGCTAAAAATTACTACTTCCTAGTGTCCGTTCCTCCATGTGCAATGAGGAAACAGATCAAAAGACGAGCACAAACGAATAAATTATTGCCTTTCATAGAATCATATACTTCTTGTGCTTGAAGGGAACACCAAAGTCATTTAAAATTCATACACTTAATTTACAATCGAGGAGCCTGGGGTTCAGAAAGATTATATGATTTAAGTCACACAGAAAAGCTTTTACCAGAATCAGATTTCTTGATTTTTAGACTAGGACTCTTATATTTGTAACCCTCAAGGTTTTTTTTTAATCCACCCAGAGAAATGGAAAAACTACCAGTTTTCTTTTCAAAATGTTAATCTGAAAACTGCAGAATTTCAAAATATAAAATTTCAAAGAAGTAGACCAACAAATAAATCAAAATTTTAGACCCAGAAAGATACTAGGAAGTTAAATTGGACTCTGGCTACAGAAAATAAGTTAGGTCAGGGAAGATAAACTATACCTCCCCAAAATCACAAGGTTGAGACTCAGATAACCTAAAATTGGAAAGCTGCTTCTTTCAATACTGCCTTATTCTTCCTTGGCTACTGATTATAACCAAATAAAACAAAAACATGGATTCACATCCAGTCTAGATATAATAACTGTTATTACTATACCTGGAGAATAGGTATAAATCAATTCTCTGCTTAATAGAAATTAACTAAAATTAATTTTGTTAAATTTTAATGAATGAGGCAGCATAATGCATGTTTTCATTTGATAATGTACTTAAGTGTGGATCAAAATTCTGAGTTTTGTTATTTTTATTATGAGATGGTGTTTTAGACTCAGGAATCTAATACCAAATTAGACTGTTTGCAGTTCTTTAGATCAGCAGCCTATATTTTGTGAAAGCAATGACCTAAGAATGATTTTTTCATTTTTAAAATGCTATTAAAAAAATTGAAGAATTTCTGACAGAGACCACACATGGCCAAAAAGCTGAAACTATATAGTAACTGGACCCTTACATTATAAAAGTTTGCTGGATTTTGACAGTTCTCTGAGTCAGGGCTATCCCTTTCACCTTGAGGTAAAGACCTTCTCCCTCTTTTCTTTTCCCAATTAAAGCTTTGCTTATATACTCATAAAAAAGAGAAAAGTTTGCTGGCCTCCATTCAGAAAGTACATGAAACTGGGATTGAATATGTAAAAATACATGAAGGCTTTTTTGCTTGTTCGGCTTCTAAAAGTTAAACCTCTAATTTATTTAGACTTTACTGCAATTTGCCTTTCTTCTGATAGTAGACAGTGGAGGAAAAAAAAAATCTTGTTTGAGGGTTACAATTACCAGATCCAGTTAAATGATGATCACAGACTAATGGAAAGTGAACATATAATTGGAGCTAATTATTTATGCATGTGAAATTCATAAACATTTCAGACAGCTGAGAAAACAGCATATTCTAAAGTATTGTGGGCTTTTTAAAAACATAATGGAAGCAAACGGGCAATTCAGGACTGAGTATTCACCACAGTGGCAGGGCACTGGCCTAACATATATGAAGCCCTGGCTTTGATCCCTAGCACCAAAGGAAGGGGGAACAAAAAAAACCCCACCAAAACCAAACCCTGGTAATTTAATTCTCTTCCTCTGGTTTCTTCTGTTGGTTTTTAAAATATTCTCCTCATGCCTCTCATGGCCCCCTACAGCATGTTGTTATTTATTAATTAGTAGTTCTCCACTATGTTAATTATCTCAGTGACCACCCATCCATATCTCATTTGCAATCCTGAATAACAAATACACAAATCTCACCAGAACATATGCAAATAATGGAAGTGCTTCTAATGAGATGTGAGATGCCAAAATGAAAAATAGTGACTAGTTCAGGGAAAAAGCAAAAATTAAGGATAATCCACTTATCAATCTGAATGTAACAGTAAAGCAGACCACCTGCATAAGTTTTCATAGTCTACTGCACTGCGTGATAAAGGACAGGAACAGTGTGATGGGCCCTGGTTTACACAACACTCTGATAACCACTATATGAAAACAAGTCCATATCTCCTCCTTTCCATAAATTTATGTGGAAAAGTGTAGATTTTTGTTCACTAGAGAAAAATTATCGCAAAGTCATGCCACAGTTAAATTACAATCATTTCAAGGTTATAACTTTAAAAGTAGGATCTATTCTATAGATTAAAATGTCTTACTTTAATAATTACATTAATAATTGCTTTGCAGTATCTTCAGCCACTTCATTTTCTTGCTTGCTTTTGTAATTGGAAAGGAACAAATTTTCTATTTGCGTCAAGAATTCCTCAGCAATGAAGCAATTAGTTACTTTGCTCAGAGTTTTTCTCAGACACTCCAAAAGCTAGTTAAAAAGAAAAAATTTATAAATACATTAAAAAGTATAAGAAGAGGAACTAGTTAAACATCACCATTTTGTCTCTTTCCAAACCTCACATTTCTTAATGATCAAATGAGGAACTCTCCTAAGTATGGCTAAAGGCTGAATTATTTTCAACTGCCTGCTGAAGTATTGGAAACCAGTGAGGAATGCTTAGCTTGGTTCCCTTACAACTTTATGTAAGAAGACAAACCTATGATTGTATATGTGATGGTCTCTACTTTGGACAAATTTGTGACTTTTGCTCCATTTTTTAGTTGTTGCACTCACAAAGTAAAATAATATTAGGATTTTTAAAAGAAAAGCTTTGGATCTAGTGATGTAGTAAAATGCCTATTAATTCATTTTTGTCTCAGATGTAGAACACCTAAAAAAACTTAAGTTGAGCAACAAATAAACTAAGATAACTTTTAAATTATTATGTTTTCAGGTTCTATTCTTTTGATAAAATAGGTGAATGAGTAGTGTTTGAAAAAATATATTTTCATACATATAAACACAGAGGAAATATAAGCTCTAGATTATGAATTTCAATTTATCTTAATGCTTATATACCAATTTCATTGAACTATTTGCAATATTGAAAACTTGAGACTTAATGGGTTAATGTGCAAGGTTCTGGGATCAACCTCCAGCACCACAAAGAAACAAAACAAATCCAAATTAAAAAAACCATGTAGATAAAAACATAAGTCTTTACTGTTCAAAAATTAGAATGTTAGAATCTACTTTCTGAGAAATGTGTATATTAGTCTTTCAATAGCATATGGAAAAATGTGGTTATAAAATTAAGAAGTAAAAGATACTGAAAATTAATGTTTAAAAATTTTCTATTCCCAAATTGCTACCAAAAAAATCCCAAGACAAATGTTGCCAATCTACTCATTATAGAAGCAAAATGAGAAGTGAGATAAAATAATTCAAAGTTCTTATTTCCTATTAGAAATTTAAATAAAAAGACCATTTAAATTTAATTGTTAGATTTACACTATCATTCTTAAAAACGATCAATTGTTAAGGCTAGAGGGAAAACATGGTGCTTTTGAATTTAATAAAATGAGAAAAATGTTCTCCATTGTGCACAATAATAATCTGCTAAGAAATTTATCAGTCAACACTTGACAAATTTATTCTAAAATAGTATTATTTCTCTGTGCAAGTTTGGGCAACAAATACACATTACTAATTATCTTCTAGAAATTAACTTTAGAAAGAAAAAAGCAATAAAGAATCTATATAGAAAATGTATCCACAAAGCATTAGGCATCAAGGGAAAACACATCTAGATGAATAGCTTTGGAATGTGTGAACAACAGAATCAATTAAAATGAAGGCAGCTTACTTTCTGCAGACAAGTCAGGTCAGAATCCCGGCGAAAGATTTTATCCATGGGGACACTGCTGTAGGAAGAAATATGAAAACAAACTGATGAAACAAATACTATAAGGTAATCAGTTGTGTAATAAACTATCACTGATGCCATACATCACAGTTTTATATTTAACTTGGGTTTTCTCTAAAACATAATTTAATGAGAAACACTGCAGATGTGCAACCATCTCAAACCACAACACATACCTAGGGGAGAGCCTGTATTTTTCTATTATCCATCTTGTCTTTTCAAATACTAATCCCCACCGAGGTTCTTCTAACATCTGTTGTACTTCAAATTTGTAAGGTAAACCTAGAAAACCATAAAGAAGCATATTTTCAACTATTTCTTAATCTCCAGTCTTCTTTTAATTACTTAAAATTCCCTTCAGTGTTTTAACAACCACAGCATGGCAGCCCAGCTGAACAGCACTTTAAACATAGAGGGCAGTCATTAAATATTTATTGCCTGACTATACTTGGTCCACCAAGCATATTAATGCCAAGCTATTAATAATAATGAAGAAGAGTACAAGTGACACTTTCGTGACAATTCTACACAAGACACTATGAGAGGTGGGGTGAGCACATAATATGTTATCCAAACCAAAATACTTTTATAATGAAAGGAGACAAAATTAATAACTATGCCTAAACCACAGGCTTAAACTGGGATAGTAGTCAAGACAAGATATATGGCCATCCTAGTGATAAATTTTTTTTTTTTTTAAAGACAAGTGATATCAAGCAGCATTACTCCTATTTTTCAGAGGAGAAAATTCAAGTTAAGCTATGTTAAATACAATGTTCACGTTAGCAAAATTGGAGCTTAGATTTCACATCACCTCCCTATAGGTGCTAGTCTAAGACTAGACATGGAATGGGATCAACCTTGGAGAGGCAGCAACTGTACTTGAGTCACAGCTGCCATACCAAACTGGAGGAAAAGAGCCCAAAGGGTAGACATCACCACACAATGAGCCATCTTAGCAATCTGTCACATATCCTTCAACACTGCCATGTAAATCTACAGAATATTAAAAGAACAGTGATTCATTACCAAGTGATTCATTACCAAAGGTTTACCATGTGCCAGGCATCAGGTGCTTTAAGTATGTGAAGTCATTTAAATGAAGTAGTTACTATTATTGTCCCCATTTCCCATTTTTCAATGAGGACACAGAGCCAGGAAAAGGTTGTGTATAAGAAGGACTTGAACCCCCAGGCCATCAGGCTTGATAATAAAAATATTTATTTTTTAGTTTAAGGTGGACACAATATCTTTTATTTTATTTTTATGTGGTGCTGAGGATTGAACCCACTGTCTCATGCTTGCTAAGTGAGCACTCTTACCACTTGAGCCACAACCCCAGCCTTATAATGTATGTTTTTAACTTTTGCACTCTATTGCCTCTCAATCAAGGTTTTTTGCCATAACAAGGCTTTTCAGGTTAATAAAAATCCAGCAAGTCAGAAAGCAAGAAAACAGGGTGGGGGGTCGGGGGGTGGGAGTTCGGACATGGTATTCTTCATAATAAAACAAAACATGCTCTAAAAAAGGCCACCCTGGCCCCAAATGTTTGGAAACAAAGAAAGGGATAGCAAGACTACTGATGACTAATTTTTTTTTTTTCACTTCTCAATTCTCCCTCCCTCCATTTTATTTCTCCCTTGCAGAAACTTAAGAAGACTGATACATTATAGTACATGGACTATTAAGCAAATTCTTCTGGTGATAACAAATCAACTAAGCAGAGATGCCAGCTATAATGGTAACTACCTATTTTGCTAAATACTTCACATACATTACCAGAATTTCTCACCCTGTAAGCAAGATAATATTTTTTTTCTCACTTTACAGAATTAACAAAAGAGAATGAGAGGGCCTAAGTAATCTGCCTAAGGTAAAATAACTAGTAAATGTAAAGTAGTGGGATCTGAATATAGTTGAATGACTTCTATTCCTAATGAAAACTGAAAATGGGAATAAAGAGAGGTAAAGAATGCATTTTCAATCAGAGCTGATGGAAAAATATAAACACACAAAAACTACACAGAGATATACTTGGCATTATTTAGAAATTTTTTTTCTAAGTTAAAGGCACTAAAGTAAAAATTTCCTTTTGTATAGAATATTTTTATCCACTGAAATATTAGAAAAAACTAATCACTGACTATATTTCCTGACTGATACAAGTACAGAAAACACTTAACCATTAGACATTTTAAAGACAGGAATAGAGTTAAAAGCACTGTAGCACAAAATATCTTGTGACTTCTGTAAAATCTTAATTCTTATACAAAAGGATTTCCAAGAGAAGCAAAGCCAAGGACCTAAGATTAGAATCTTGCATGCAGTTCTAACAATTGACAAGTCATTAACCAGGCAGCTCTACTCAACAGAACTTTCCATAATGAAGAATGCTGAATCTGTGTGCTGTCCAATAAAAGCTTATCCTTTCAAGTAATCCCTCCCCGGCCTGAGCTAGTTCCTTCACACACACTGGTCTGTACTTTGCTAAACATCTGAGGGTTCCTTCCACAAATCTTCAAAATTGACTCTATTATCTGGCTTTCTGTTTGTCCTCCTTACCTCCATCACCTCAACTCTGGTGGCTTTCTCCTCCGGTGCCATACCTGGAAACTTAGGTGGACAGAATGCCTTTATTTTATTTGTTTATTTTTATGTGGTGCAAGCTCTCTACCACTGAGCTAAAGCCCCAGCCCCTGAAAACTCTTTTATGTCAGTAAGTAACAGTAATTTAGAGCTCAATTACTTTGTTACCTGTCTCTTGGAATCATCTTTCTTTGGTGCCTGAAGTTGTGTCCTAAATACCACTGTTGGATATGTTTGTCTAGTGTTTTGGTTGTTTCAGACAGGTCTAAACTACTTCATTTTGACTACAAGCAGAATTGCATGAAGTGAATTTTAAACTTCAATTAATTCCATTGAATTTAAGTCATATGTATCCTATATTTATTGTATTAGATGGCATCAGAATAAAGACTCTTAACCAAGATCTAGCCAATAATGACATAAGAAGTAATTTAAACTGAGAACAAGTTGATGGTGTTTCTTTCCTTTATAACTCTTTGTAAAACTATGCTTAGCCAAAGAATGATATATACCATGTGCTATGCTCAAACAGGCATTTAAGACTAAATCTAATGCCAATGTTATACATTCAGTAAAACCCAATAGTGTTGACCACCTCCTAGATGCAAGACAACTGATTAGGTGCTCCTGGGGATGCAAAGATAATTAAGACATAGTTCCTGCTCTTTAAAGAAAATGCAATTTTAACAAGACTTGCAAAACAGAGAGTATCTAATGGTAAATGACATGGCCGTAGAGCTGGGAAGTCTAATAAATACAGGACATCCAAGTGAGATGATTAGAAATGAAAAGAAATTATTAAACCAACATTCATTTAGTTTAAACGCCAAGTCTTGTACTAGTAACAGGATAGAAAAATGAGCACATATCCATAATGAACTCATGATTTAATTCAGAGGAAATCTGAAATTCTGCAGTGGTAGTAAGAACAAAAAGAGAATAACATCCTAGAAGAGCCAACTGCTTCCTCCAACCATTTCATTTCCATCTACATCCCCTTCCTTTTCTAATCTGGTATACATATTCCCTATTCAGCTAGAGTTGATTAGATCACAATAGACATAAATTCCAGAGAAAACACAATGTCTGATGGGATAAGCCAACCAAATTCTTTCATGAGACAGAATGGGGATTAAAAGAGTTAGTCATTGGTAAACCTAATATCACTAGAAGATGATAGAGAGCAAGGTTTTGTGTTTGTTTGTTCCCTTTTCCATTTCCACTGCAGAGAAAGCCAGTCTACATTTATAAGCACACTTTCATGAGATCAGGGACTATGCTTATTACTGCAGTTTCTCCAGCATATACAGCAGTTCTCCTAGCACATACACTGCTTGCCTATAACTTTTCTCCACATTTTCATCCTTTTGCCCAGTTGTCATGGTAACACAGGGGCTATTATGTAAAAGAAGAAGGTGGTAGCACTAAATAGCATAAAAATAGTGATTCTCTAGTTGATGGACAAACTTTTCCATTAAATAGTTTTGTATAGCTGTAAATTCTTTGATTTATAAGATAAGAAATAGTAATTAGTTGTTATTGTTGAAAACTTACGATAGGAGCCATCTGGGCTAATTTCCTCACTTATAACCAGGCAGGTAATCTGGGAATATGGTAAAGGATTGTTTCGATTATAGGGACTAACAATCATCCCAATGAACTTTGCACCTCCTCTGGAGAAGTAACTCTATAAAAAAAGTAAAATTAGTTTCAACTACATAAATTCAAAGGTCAGTATTTAATCACACTAACATCTAATGGGGGGAAAGGGAACAAAAAGGTACATTATGAACTTCATATCCAAACATCAACAAAATGAAATGCTGCATGTATTCATTTCACACTGTGAAATTTTTAATTAATTAAATTTATTTAATTAAAATGTGTCAAATCCAATCTAAAATGACCCTTAAAAAATATCACAAAGCCTACAAAAATCTGCATTTGCTATGAATATGTTTACTAATTATAATGGTTATTTTTCAACTATAATCTACAATAGCTGCCCACAGCTAAAACACTCATATATCAAACATAAAATTGCAGGAAAAAAAAACTTGTTTTCTTCAGATGGGTAAATTACATGAATGTTTCCAACTATTTTAACTATTCCCTGTCCTAATTTTTCCTATCATTTTTAGAAGGCTCTGAGAATATCAGTATTACTTTTGTAGCTTGTCTGTACTAAACAAAATTGCTGACTCTCCAAATGCTTATACAAACATGTATCATTATTACAACCAGAGAAAAGAATTCAAGTTAATTAAAAATCCCAGATGAAAGAATATCAAAAACACTATGCTTATTAAAGAAAAAAAAAACACAACAGGATGTGTAATCATGTACAGCAGGCACACATACAACACCTATATACATACCTGGTATTTGGCTTGTGTGTCAATATCTCTTAAGGAAGGATTAGGATCAAATGCAGGATGAGAATGATACCATCCAATAACACTGTAACCTCTAACAGCCAAGGTTTCTGAGGCCTGTGTTTGTGATACAGGATCCATCTCACACTGTAGTCCTGTACTCAGACTGTTACATGGTTCTGCTGCACAGACCTATGAAGGATTGAGCCTCTTATGATTATTCTGAAATCCTCTTAATTCTATCACTTGCAAACAAATTATACTCCCAAAGTGTGATTGTATGCTAAGAACTTTGCATGCATTTTTCTATTTTAATAAGGTCATACTAATGGCTACTTTTCCAAATTGCACTATATAATACAAGTGCTAAGGTGTTCAACAATTCCTGTTATTTATGGCAATAATTTCAAATTGATATGCAACAGAATAATGCATATCAACTTTCAACTACAAGTACCAATACATATTTTTGGCATCTTAGGAGTTATAGCTCTTTATTGATAAAGGTAGTGAAAAGCCAAGGCTTGGCAGTATTCTCTTTCTTGATGAGAAAAAGAAATAGGTGCTCAGTATATATGAAATGTAAGTCACTTCTGGGAATAATTTGCATGTTCTCACACATACAATAAGTAAAGTCTATTTTGATATAAATACTCCATAAAAATATTTAGTATGGCAGCAGGATTAGATAGTAATTAAAACATTTTTTTAAAAGAAAGAACTTACTTCAACTATCTTATTAACTTCTGAGTATCTTCCTCCTAACAGACCAATTACTTCTGCCATAGAGACGTGAGCATGCTAGAAGAAATACAAGATTACTTAGCTCAAATGCACAAACCATCTGACAAAAATCAGAATTAAACTCACTATTATAGGAGAGTCACTTCTAAATACACCTATGCTATTCTAAAATAAGGTCACATAGGTTAACTAGATGTGAGTCTGAACACAAATTTCATCTTTCTTCACTGCTGGCTGAGAAGTTTTGAAGCAAACACTTTAATACCCCAAGACAGCACTTTTTCATTTAAAAATGAAGACATTATTTGTTCTCCCTATTCAAGAAAAGCATTACAAGGACACAAAAGTAAAAATTACTTTCGGTCCTTCTACAGAAAACACCACAAACTTACACAACTGTTAGGAGTATTGGTAGTTTACTGCAAAAAAGGAACCTCCAAATTACAAGTTGTGCTTTGTTTCAGTACTCTAAAAAGGCAGCAGACATGAGACATTAGGAAATGAAAATAGGGTTAATGATGGCAAACAGTCTGCAAAACTCACATTAATTTATTTTCTCTAAAATATGGAAACATGCACTTGTATGGCTTTTCTTCAAAAGAAAAACTTATTTTTAGATTCCTTGTCTTAAAAGAGGATAATAAAGATCCAAAATAAATGTCTTCCATACTCTTCCTGCAATAAAAGTACAACAAGAATAGAAATCAGAGTAAGTCAACACAATAGATTATCCTTACCAAATCCATTATTAAAAGTGCTTCTGAAGCTACTTTCACCTGAAATGGCTCCTGAAATACAAAAAAAAAAAAAAAAAAAAGGGAGGGGGGCACATAAAAATAGAGATTGTGTTCTCCCCAACTCAAATGTCCACCCTTTTCTCATTTGCCTCTTTCAAATTCTCACCACTAATCAAAGTTCAATGCAAATCAGACTTTTTTTAAAAGAAATTTAGCCTTCAAAACCTAGCAGGAAGTAATTCCCTCTCATTTTCCATCTGTACCAATCAATTGGCCCTTAATATATGTTATCTGATCCTTTCATATACATATTTCTTGCATATACAGAATAAGAAAAAGCATTTCTTGTCAGACAGTGACATTACCTATGGTTTGTCATTGATATATAAATAGTACCTGCTTTTCTTCACTGAAAAAATTACAAGGTATCAGTTGGAAGGGATCAAATGAGCTGAAAAGAAAAAAAAATACTTATTTTAAATATAATCTCAACAAGATTAGGATAATTATTATAAAATTATTTACAAATTTGAAAATGTACATCAATAATCTAAATTCAAATTCTGAGAAAAATATAAAATTAGAAAAATCACTTAGTACATTCATATAACCTTTTTGAAAGAAACCATAAGCAACTTAATTTCCTAATACCCAAAGAAAACAGGATAAATGGTCAGCCATGTTTCCTATGCTGAAAGCAGATTTTTAGAAGTTCCAGTAAAGGAAAAAGAAGAAGTTGTTCCCTGACATGAGATACCAAAGTTCATGGATGTTTCTCAAAAAAACTTCTCTCAGTACAAAGTACCCACTACAGAGTAGATTCAATGAATACTTTTAAAATAAATGAATAACAAATAGTTCTATTAAAGAAATTAATGTACAGAGGAAGTTCTCTGGAAAACTCTATATTTATTATATAAAGAGATGAAAAGGGGGAACCTAAGCAAATCTAAATAAAAAGGCCATGTGTAAACTTGAAAGACATGTCAAAATGCTTTGACCAGTAAAAAACTGAGTTTGGGAAAAATATTAAGCACATTACAAGGTTATTTTAGGCTATGCTCACAGAAAGAAAAACAAGCAAGAATATGTTCATGATGTTATGACTGGAAAAAAATAAGACTATTATGTTTCCATTGTAAGAATGAGACAACCAGTGACAAAAGGACATTGTGTATTATTTAATACTGTATCCCAAGGGCCTAGGACAGTGCCTGAAACACAGTAGGCATTCAAAAAATATTTGTTGAATTAAGAACTTTCAATTACCAAATAAAAAAGAACTAAAGGCCAAGACAGATGAGAAAAATAAAAAGAACAGTGGAAGAACATCCCAGAACACTTAATAACCTTGAACGTAGAACTTCTGTCAATGCTTCTTAAGGGTTAGAGGATGGTGGATTGGCAATTATTGAACTCGGGGGCCCATGAAAAAGCAGACATCAGAAACAAAAATTAAATGCTGATTACCAGGAAAACTCTAGAAAAGATTTTTAAACAGCTGATTTGTGAGCCTTTACTAAGTGGAGGGGTAAATAATGGGTTTAGGAAAATTTAAGTCATAATAAAGAGATCTTTCCATAGATACGTCTGATGGGGATAACTGGCTAGAAACCAGAAGACTACACGAAGATTCAAATTATTTTATCCAAATTTAAGCAAGACATACACTATCATTACTTTTCTGAATAACAAGAAATATGGGTTAATTCTGGTAATAAATGTATCTGACTATGTCTGATATTTATATTTATTCCAGTTAAACATTTTATGTGGCAATTAACAGAAAAAAAGGCAAACTTATTGAAATGTTGATGATTAGTGGCACAAAGGCTAAAATGTGAAAAGTAGATCTGAATTTGAAAAGGTCCTGACACACTGAATCGATTTGAAAATAAAAATATAAAGTATAAGTCTCACAGATTCAAAAAATCAAATGTTTGAATACTGAATGAAGAGGCTTGGTTTATAGATGACTGTATTCATAGTCTAACATATTTTCACAATAACAGTATTAGTTTTAATTTCTACTTCACAGAAGCAATATATAATGTAGTAAATTATATATTACCAGGAATATGGATTCTTAAGCCTTATTGTCTGGGCTTAAATCACAGTTCCAACACTAAGCATCAGCAAGTTACTAAATTGCCCTTTGCCCTCAGTTTTCATCTGTAAAATGAGAGTGATAACATCAACTATTACAGAAGGTTTCTATGAGGATTAAATGATTTAATATATGTGAACTGTTTAAAACATAGTGAACTGTGTTAGCTATTTTAATTATTATTTCATAAAAAAGAACAGGAGGTCTATCCAAGGTCACACAACTTGCAAGAAAATGATCTAGTGGCATTCCTGGGTATCTTGTTTTAAAAGGGAATAGTGACAAAACTATGATCTAATCAGTGGGATAGGTATCTGTAGGGAATGGAGAGGTCTTCTAGAAAAATTCAAGGCATTTGACTTACTTGGCAACCCTTATATTTTGCAAATTACACACACACACACACACACATTTTTTGGTGGGGAAGGGTATTGGAGATTGAACCTGGGGGCACTTAACCACATCCCCAGACCTTTTTAATTTTTATTAAGACAGGGTCTCACAGAATTGCTTGTAGCCTTGCTGCTGAGGCTGGGTTTGAACTTGTGATCTTCCTGCCTCAGCCTCCTGAGTCACTGGGATTAAAGGTGTGCACTACTGAACCAAACTAGTTCATATATATTTTGAGAGAACTAGTCACTTCCTGAGGTTACTTGTCCATCTCTGGAGTTGAATGATCTCCTGTCATAAACAAGGTCCTTTTGAAACATATATTGGATCCCATGCTCACTCACCTGAAGTTTAAAACATTTGATTACAGCAACAAAAAAACCCCCAAAATTTTATAACTATTTTTAATTAAAAAAATTTTAACTGATCCATCTTAGTGAATAATAGCATAATGTAGCCAATGGTCATTTGTCTATACATTTTCTGTCTGATAAGTTAAAACAATTAAATTTATATAACTTAACACTGTACCTTTTTGTTGGTCTTGACACTTTTGAAGGTTTAACAGGTTTGCCCCTTTCCTCTTCTCTTCTTTTTGCCAACTCCTCAGCAGACAGATGCTAAAACAAAACACCAATTGTTATCAAAGAGTCCATCAACTACACAGATGGAAAAGTAATAAAACAGTAATTTAAAATCAATTTAAGAGCATGTAAGAATAAGATAGACTAAACTGACTTAAATGGGTCTCCTACTGGAGAATATTTTTTTTAATTGTTTTAAATAAAACAGCCATATCAAATTGAAAATATAGTCCTCTGGATATGCCCATTTCAATCAATGGTTTCAATCACACAGGTTAAAGAATCTTAGAATCATCTGAGTCTTTTAGTTTCCCTTTCTAGTTACTAAGTTCTACTGTGCTGAATTTTCTTTCACAACTGGGACAGCACAGTGTTAAAATTAAGAACACATATTTTGTAGGGTGTGGTGGCACACACCTGTAATCAGCTCAGGAGGTTGAGGCAGGAGGACTGCAAATTCAAAGCCAGCCTTGGCAACTTACAATTCTTGTCTCAAAAAAAAAAAAAAAAAAAAAAACCCTTGGGTTCGATCCATGGTACCCAAAACAAACCAAACCAAACAAACAAACAAAAAAACTCAAAACAAAAACAACACAGTTTCTAAAGGCTGAGAGTGTAGCTCAGTGGTAAATGTTTATTTAACAAGCATGATGCCCTGGGTTCAATCCCAGCACTTGGGGGTTGGGTGCAAACTCCAGAAGGATTCTAGAGCCAGAATGTCTGGTTCTGCTCTTTATTATCAAAAAAGTTGATTTCATGCTTCAGTTTACTCATCTTTAAAAATGGGAAGATTAAGAGTAATAATAACAACATCATGATGTTACTGTGAAGTTAAGTGAGTTAATGTTCATACTTCATTAATTTCATCTTTACTACCAACCTTACACCTTAGCTGAGATAAGCTAATGCACCTTTTCCAGAATATACATATATATTTTAGTATTTTCCATGTCTGCACCTTATCCACTTCCTCAGACAGGAATATTTTAATCCACTTTCAAGATGATTCTTCTGTTGATATTTTGGATCAAATACCACCTCTTCTGTGGAAACCTACCCTGATCATAGTCTTTGAGAGGGCCTTATAATTCATGGACCAACCTTATGTAACTCGGCATAGGTTTTTGTCTTTCCTAACAGAAATATAAGTTTCTTATGGTAAGAAACCATGTATTACTTATTATTGTGCCTAGAAGAGTGTTCAGGTGTTAAAGTTAGGGCAGGAAATGGGGATTGAAGAGAGAGAGCCAACATTTATCTAGTACATTACGCATGTTGGCTTAGTGAGTATCTAATACTAAGACCTTTATATACTTCATTTCATTTACTTCTTACAAAAATCCTTTTGTGGAAGTACTATTATTCATGTTTCATAAATTTAAAAAACACACAATTCAGTGAGGTTAAGTAGTTGCTCAAGGTAACAAAGCCATTAAAAACACAATCACGCATTCTTTACATTCTACTGTACTGGCTATTTAGAACAAATTGTATATTTAGAACAGGGTGTGCATGTGTATATACACAAACACAAACACAAACACAGTTACTGCCTGTGTTTCTTTTTAGGAATTAGTAGAAAAACATTTCAATATTTGTATATCAATGTCTAATGTCTAGAAAACATCATTCAATAAGTATTTTAATGAAATTAAACAGGCATACCAACTCTTTGACTGGGCATACATTCTTGAACTAGAGATAAGATGTACAGGGAGAGAACCAAAGTGCTGAAAATAAGTCAGACTCCTAATTAACTGTAGAAACAAAGCTTTCCATTTTGTGGCTTACTAAAAAGTCTAGACAAACAAATTAACATGGGACTAAAGTTGTATATGTGTAAACACATGAAACAACTATAATATTATGACATTAAGATAGACAGATGTATATTGACGAAAACAGTTTTCATGGATAAGCCATGTAAAAGGTCAAAATTACCTCAAATGTTTGTCCTTCTAAGTCCTTTGCATCACACCAGTTTCCCCATGGATCTCGAACCCTTCGTCTCCTTGTTCGCTATGATGAGAATAAAATAAAGCAAAAGGTAACAAGATTAACTTGGAGAAATGATAGCACAAAACCAAAATAATAACTATATAAAATTTAGTTAATTTATTTATTTAAATATTATCATCTCTGATCATCAATGACTCACTAAACTTTATTAATTTATGTTCAACAGTTAGTACTCAGAAATACATCAGTAATTGTGAGCTATGGGTCAAAGCACTGGCAGCAGGTGAGGAGAGTAGGCCAGATGATGAGGCAGAGACATTGTTTGAAAAGAAAAAAATCTGTGATCTTCTGTCTTTTACTTGCATTTAATTTTCATTTCTGTTTATCATTTGGAAGCTAAAAACCTAGGACAAAATTATTTTTAAGACCAGAAAGAACCACCAAGGAAATGGCTTCCCTTTATATGTCAGCTTTAGAAAGGGGACTATGAAGTTAATACAAGTAGTGAAAAACAGAATTTGTTGATATTACTAATATTCAGTTTTACAAACCTCAATACTGAGACCTTTAAGATGGATAAGCTATGAAAGGGCAGTATGACCCGTATCATTTCCAGAAAGAAAAAACATCCTTTCTTAATAGAGTAAACCTAGGTAGAAGTGGTTTGCAGCCTCAACAATGAGAAAAATAACTACTAGATAATACTTTTGTTTCCCCCATGCATTTTACCTATAATCAACTTAGCTTACATGCACAACAAGATTACCCTTTAAATTTTAAAATACAAAATTCACTGATTCTAAGAATTAAAGGTAAATGTTACTCCAAAAAACTGATTCTTATGGAGACAATTTTTAAAGACACAAAAATAATAGAAATGAAAGAGAAAAAGAGACCTGAACTGTATAGTTTTGTTTGTTTTTTGTTTTCAGTGGTGCTAGGGATTGAGCCCAGAGTCTCCTAACCTAGGCAAGTCTCTACCACTGAGCCTTATCACTAACCCCCTGAACTGTAAAGTTTTAAAAGATACATTTCTAAATCAAAACTAAACACCCAAAACCACTTTAACAAAACATTATGGCTTTGCATGTTTGTCAATGAATTTTGAGGATTTTATAGTTGGTTTTGCTTCATAAACCAGTATGAAATTGAACTGAAGCTAGAAAAATAAATGGCTAAGGTGAAGTGTAATAGAAAACATTTTCTTCCACTAAATGGCCATTTGTTAAGCAGATAAAGTAGGCATTCTTTACTAAACTGGTAAGGAGCAATGTAGAGGAATCACTTAGAAAAATGGCTGTTTACCATAGACTGCAGACGCTGGGCAAGCTGGTATGCTTCTACTGCATCTTTTCTGTCTCTGATTCGAACTTTATCAACTGGTTGTGGTCTATTATATACAGCCTGTTCTATTGGAGTTCAGGAAAGATAAACAATCTATTATTTTGTGAAGTTCACTTGTTAAAGAGGAAGACACATTTACAAAGACTTTAGCTGAGCACCAATGATTCTTATTCCATAATCATACATCTAATGTACTAATGTTATAGTTCCCAGATAAAAGTAATGCTATTATTAAAAGGAAATTTCAGTAAAACGAATATAGGAAATCAGCAATTTATTTAATTTTTGACTACTGAGGTCCCTTTGCTCACTTTGGCAGTCAAATATAGATCATTTTTGTTTTGTAGCTAAGGAAGCTAAAATGTTTTAATTTTCCTGAAAAGCTAATTTATAAATATAGGGCTTTGGGCAAACCAGGCCACTGAAATAAAAAAGAGTCTCCAAAGCAGACTGTAAATTCTCTGTGCACATAGAATAAAATAAAGGTGCTATGAGTTTTCTAGTTAGTTGTTTCACTTTCACAGAAAAGAAACAAAATGTACTCTTCTTAAATAAACCATGGGCTCTAAGATTCTAGTTATCTTATGACTATGCAACTATGGCTATTAGCTTTCTTCAAAAAGTTTTTGTCATGTCAATTCAATGAAAGGATGAAATACATTTTGAAATATGCCTATTCCTCAAATTTAAATATGGGGGAAAATGGGTGAAAGAACTTTCTTCCATTAAAATATTTTGGTACTTTTGATACATTTAAGTGTGGAGGCTCTTAAATTATTTCCTTTATTTAATCATTACTAGATAGCATTTCTATCATAAATACAGTAAATGGTAGAGTAACCCTTACCCTAAATGCTCAAAGCCAGAAGTACTTCAGATTTCAAACTTTTTTTAGATTTTGGAATATTTGCATGGAAATGCTCCAGTGTCTTTAACTTTTTAAGCACCATGTTGGCCTTAATCTGTATGCATAAATTTAATGGGCCATTAATAGAGTTTTCATAAAATTATTTACTTTTGCCTGACAAAGAACTATACTATTTCTATTAGATTATTTTTCCTTTAAAAACTATACCTTCAGTTTTCATTGTAGATCAAAAAGAAACACAGTTTAATCAACAAAAATTTGATTTACAGCAAAATCGTAATTATACATTTATTCCATAATGGTTATCTCCTTGAATTCTATATACTTAAATTTACTTAAATTCTAATCGTAATAGAAATTAATAGGTGCTATAAGGATACAAAATATTGAGTAAAAGATGTTGTTGGATTTTTATTTTTACCACATCCAAAATTGATTGCTCCTATCAACTCGAGGTATGTATGAATCCGTCCAATACAATTAACATCCCCACAGTTCTTCAGGCCAGGACGTACTGAGGTCTTATTTAAGTATTTCGGTTTGCATATCTCCCTAATTAAGAGATGGAAGTACAATTATTTTGGATAAATAAAAACATAAAAAAAGATTTCTGGGGAAAACTTATATGAAATATTTTAAAATTTTACCCATTTCACTCTATAAAGTGTATAGCAAATATAATACATAACCCAAGTGTACTTTTTTCTAAAATCTTTGGACATCTTTAAGTGATGCAATAACTTACAGGTACCTGTACTGTGTTTTACAAGTACTATTCTTTTACCAATAAAAAAGTCAATATTCCAGTTATCCCAGGATCTTTAAGTTAGAAGGTTATTTATGTATTGATCCAAATTCAAGTATAAATCTTTGAAAAAAAGAGCACTTTGACAATATATTAAAAAGATTTAGCATTAAACTTTTCAATTTTTTTTTTTAGTGCCAGAGAATGAACCGTATTACGGTGTCACAGTATTACGGTGACAAGGCAAACATTCTACTCCTGAGTTCTATCTTCCCCTACACTTTTTCCAATTTTTAAACATATTACTTAGGTCAGATGTCTCTTAACTATTAGCTATCTTACAAATATTTACATTTTTATATTCATTTTAATAATGAATCTAATAAATATTAAGTTCTTACTCTCAGTGGAAACAGAAATAGATATTATAGGGGATTCCAAAGAATCAAGACACTCCCAAAACTCCAAACTCCCTTTCCTGAACTTCATAGTTTTTAAATGTGTATTTATTTGAGTAAGCTCTATAAAGTAAATAAAACACAAGATCAAAGAATGAAGAATAAGAAGATATATTAGGGTGGTCAGAAGCCTCTCATTTTCCTGCGCAGACCTGAATTGAGATGAGAAAGCAAGACTCTCCAAGATCTGGAGGAAAGCAAGATCTAAGACAGAGTGGTCAAGGCCCTGAGTTGGAACTGTAGGAACAGTGAGTCAAGACTCCAGACTCTGAAATCATCTTCACCTAGTGTGATCTAGAACAAGTTCCTTATCCTCTGTGAACCTAACTTTTCTCATCTGCAAAATGAGGACAAAATTGTAAAGAGGATTGCGGATAGCTTAAATATAATGCCTGACATTTGGTAGAAATTCAGTTAACTGTATAGATTATTGTTTTAATAAAAACATTCCTCTAACCAGGGAGTCAATTACATCTACTTTTATGGAAAGGATTTATCTAAAAACAAATTTGGCAGACTTCTTTTTATTTTGAAAACTTTTAAGTCTTCCTTTCTTCTTTTTTTATTTTTTAGTACCACCTCCAGTCCCTAACCAAAATTTCAGTTCTGTTGAAAACATTCCTTTTTGCTTTCATGCTGTTCTGTTAAATTATCATATTTAAATAGCAAAACCAAATTGGTTTCAAGAACTAAGACAAATGACTTAGTAAACTACTGCCATATCATTTATATATCTATGTAAATTATTCTGCCTCATATGGAATCCAAAATGCAAAGCAACAATTTGATTAAACAAATATTAAGTATATATTGATGATCTTCTTATAAACATTTTATTTTTATTTTTATTTTTTGGTACAGGGGAATGAACTCAGGGAGAGACACCCAGCTACTGAGCCACATGCCCCGCCTTATTTTGTATTTTATTTGGAGACAGAGCATCACTGTTGCTGAGGCTGGCTTTGAACTTGCAATTATCCTGCCTCAGCCTCCTGAGCCAGTGGGATTACAGGGGTGTGCCACAGGCCTGGCTCATATAGACATTTCAGAAGTAGTTATTGTTCTGAAGTCCTTCAATTTTGGCTACCCATCTTCTTATTTCCAAAAATAAAAGTAAAGACCAATAGAAATCTCATTCCATTGGTCTTTTAAAACGTAAGGGCAGAAATGTAGCTCAGTGACAGAAAGTTTGCTTGGCATGTACAAAATTTGGGGCACAATCCCTAGCACTACAAAAATAAATCAAAAAGGGCTGGGAATGTTGGTAGAGTGCTTGCACTAGCATGCGTAAGGCCCTGGGGAGGGAGGGGGGGAGGGAGGGAGGGAGGAAGGAAATAAATGAATCATCAAATAAGTAAATATACTTTTAAAAAATAGTGTCAATTAGGTAATGTAGAATAACAAAAAGACTTGGACTAACATCTTTCATAGTCACTGGCTGGTTGTGTAACCAAATACAGGCCTCTAATGGTCACCTGATCTCAGAATTATTCTTTATCAAGTAAGATTACACCATCTGTCTATTTCACAGTATTACGGTGACAAGTCAAATGAAATAAAGGAAAGCTTTCTATAAACTGCAAAACACCATGTAAATGCTAGGAATTGTTCCTCCTCAGTATTCTTTACTATGATAGCAACACTAGCCAGAAGTTGTACTTTTAGCACTTTAACCAATTGAAATGATCATGAGGCAAGAACAAGAACAAATCCTCCTGTTGGAATATGGCTGTCTTTGCAAGCCAAATAATGTAATACTGTCTGTATAAAATGAAGATATCTGATTCAACAAATTATTTGTTTCCTTTGTTAACATCCCCAGGATATAGCAGAAAGTTACTGAAACAGGATAGAAAGACCTGATAAAGAGAAAGAGAAAAACAAGGGACAAGGCTGAATCCTCACCCAAGGGCCCATCACCTGGAAGCGCTCTGTAAAGTTGGCCATATACAATTCAATATTCTTGAAACAATAACAGCAAATTGAATATTTAGTGATGACTTAACTGATAAGCTACAAACAAAAATTCAAAATATTTTTGAGTATTTAGGCTAATAAGATGAGAAGTATTTTGTCTTGTTTCCTATTCCATATTAATTAAAATATACTGACAATTTAGAAGGTAACTCCATACATTAGAAAATTCCTGTATCCTGATGAAGGAAGATGCTAAGAAATACCTTATTATGCAACAAGTTCAAGCTGAAAACATTTAAGACAGCTATTTAGGAAAACTATTTATGCAATCTAGCTACATTTAACGACAGTGTATTCCTCTGTCACCTAAGTTTTCCTTCTTTATACTTAAGGTACATGAAAAGAAATTCTCTGTGTACATCTTCCCAAAACTGTCCCAAGAAATTGCTTCTTAAAGGAATCATCAGACCTTTTCTTTCCAGGCTCCAACACTCTGAAGAACAGATGGATTATGAGAGCCATAGGTTACAATGTTTAGCAATGCTTTTAAAAAAAGATCACTATGAGAAATGTTTAATCTTTCCTCCTGAAATGATAATACATGTGAAAGCTCTTTGGATCACTAGCAAAATTTTAAATTCTACATAGGTCTAGTTAAAATACTCCACAGAATATCAGGTTTTCAAAGCAGCATCCAAAATGTTATTCTTACCACTGATCCAAAATGTAATTTCTAATTTTCAAATAGCGTTCTGGTGTTTTAGCTTGGCGTCCCTCAAAAAACTCAGGAATTGCTTGTTTTTCTTCTTCCTGAATAATATTTCTATCTATTTCTACTTCTTGTTCTGGTGGCTTAAGCTCTTCTTCCTCATGGCTTTCCTCCACCATTTGGAAGGAAGAATGAAAAAGCATTTCATTATCACTAAAATCTTTCTGAATTTCACAAGGCTCTGGAGAAGGACACTGCCTGGAGTCATCTATTCCATTTCCACCTTGCTTGTCACCATTTTTAATCAGTTTATTGCATTTCTGATCATTTACTTCAGCTGAGTCATTTTCATTGTTGCTCTGTTTTTTGGTCCATGATGTAATTTCTGAGCTTGAAAGTGTTTTCATCTCATCTTGTTTTATGTTCTGAAGATATTCCCTGGAAGATCTGCAAAAGAGAATTTCCTGGCTTCTGATTTCTTGACTGGATTCATGAGTTTTACTATTAGGAATGTCTAACAAGAGACCACTGCTACAATTCTTATGTGATGTCTGAGAAGCCCACTCATCCACCTCATCTGTGATGTCTACTTCTTCATCATCAGACAACTTTTCAATTTTTACAGCATTCAGGTTGGGATCAGCACGTCCCCTTAAACATGATGGTGTCCATGCCTTTGTCCCTTTATCTTCATTTTTAACCTGATGATCACTGCTGCTCTTCTGATTTGGTGTTTCTTTCTCTGGACTCCATTTTACCTTATTAAAAATCAGAATAAGACACCCATAATATTAAGGTTTTAAAATTTAATCAACTGACAATAAATAAGATATAATGGTACATTAGACCTTCACTGTGCTTCTCCTTAATGTGTTTAAAACTGCTTTTTAAATGTAAAAGATCAACATTTTAAATTCCCATATATGACTCATGATTTGGTACTTATAGAACTACCATGTATTTATTTTCAGTATTAAGTTTAAAATAGGCTTGAACTAACCAGAGACTAAACCAACAACTTTCATGTTAAGGTGTTCTATAAGATATTAAAAATATTTATAAAAGTCTACTTTTCAAAATGACAACCACAGCTGATCATTTCTTATGATGCTAAAATAATCCTTTACTTGGGAATTTATGTCACATATTTACATTCAGTAAGTTCAATCCATCTTTCATTTAACTATAGAAACTATTTTTTTGCAGGTTAACTTAATGCAGCTTCAATATTACAGAGTTTATAATGTTAAGCCATGGTATTATCTTCCACTCCTGATAATACCTGATAATGTAAGAAAAAGATGAAAGTCAATGAGTAAATATGAATTGAAATGAAAATTTTTATATATAATATTTTTGGAAAATCCTATAAATGACTGACACATCCAAGAGATATGATAGCTCTAAGTAAGAGATAATAGCTCCATTGTCACAAAAGAATCCCAGGATCATGTAAAGAACAAAAGGGTAGTAGGGGGAGGAGGAGATTTGGACATATAGCCTCAAATACCATTAAAAATCTTCTTATTTATTTGCAGCCTACTACATTTTAAGGTTTTCTGTTTATTTTGCAATTCTGGGAATCAAACATGGGGCCTCATGCATGCTAGGAAGAACTTTACTGAATGAGCTAGATTCCCAGCCCTCAGCCTCCTGTTTTTAATCTCAAAATTCTGGATGAAATTTTGCTTTAAAGTTCATAAAATTCTAATGTCTGTTATAATATAAATGTATCCTTCCACCCCACATTTATAAGTACAACTGATACTCCAACTTATTCCACATATTCTAATGTAAGAAGCATGGTATAAGAATAATCAGGTGAAGCTGTTTTTCTGTTCCTTATTACCTCAACCTTGATAAACTACTTCAAGCTGCTTTTGTTAGGTTGAAAGAGGTAGCAGCTAATTACTATACAATGAATACCTTCCATTACTTACCACCTATTCCCAGCTAACACCAAGACAAATATTGTATACTAGTTAGAACACATCAGTTACATTAAAACACCAATTTTCACTCAGGACATTTCCAAATTTTATATACTTGCATATTTAGAGCTCAAGCAAAATGTTAAAAAGTTCTAAATAACAACATTACACAGCTGAATATAGCACAAATTACTTGAAAGATTAAGAAATTATATAACTATGTCTTTCTGAATATTATTTATTAAAGTTTTCAGAAAGTTCTCCACAAAATTTATAAAAACCTCGTTACTATTAAATAGATTCCAGAATCATGTTAGCATTTATGTCCTCTAAGCTGTAATAATAGATAAAAGTCTTTATAATGCAAATACTTAAAAAAGAAGAGATATTGTTTAGAGGAACACAAGACCTCTAAGCTTTTCTCTTAGGAATAATCCTTGCCTTCTAGAATGTTTTGGGGTAGTTAATATTTACCCTTAAACTATAGAAAATTAGGTAGTATAGTATATAAATACTATTTAATAGCAACAGTTAAAAAACTAAAGATATGCTCTAACGTGTTTAAAGTCAAACATGCATAGTGTTTTATGAGGTTAAAATACTTTTAATATAAAACTTTAAACAATAAGACACTAATACTTACATTATATATTTCTGGTTACTAATTTTGTTCTGCTTACCTTATTTTTAAAGTATTGTCTGGCATAACTCTTCACTTGTAAAACACTGCGACTTCCAATCAGCTTTGCAATTTTAGTCCACCTTCGACCAAATTTAGCCTGCGTTATCAAAATGGAAAAAAATTGCTTTTGATTAGCTTACTTATTTGAAAAACAATTAAAAACTATCTTTATCTATAGACTAAACCAAACAATGAAATCCTCCCTATAGACTGTGCTCTTTCAAATCAAAAAGCTCTCCCTTGAACCTGGACTTCTGAAAACAATCCAAAGTGATTTTAAAAATCATAGAAAATAATAATATATATGAAGATCCACCACTTGTGTTACCTAACTGTATACATTCATACTGCACATTACGATGTTCCAAAATCTAAGATATCTTTTAAAAATAAGTAAGTGCTCAAAAAGGAGGTAGGTGAACATTGTACATTTAAAGGATCAACTGAACATGTTTTACACTAATCACAAAATTTTCAGAACATCCATTGTGCCCCACACAGACACTTTTACTCTATACAAGTATCAGTGCAATGACTTACAAGTCTGAATCACGAATGAAGTAGACCTGTATCTAATGCTTCCCTCTTAGTGTCAAGGCTGTGCACCTGCTAACACTGAAGCTGAGGGGAAAAAAAACTGGGAACCGGAGGGAGCTCCCATGTTTTGAAGTACAGAAAGGAACACATACAATTTTATACAAAAGGGATTTTTAGGTATCAAGTATAATTCTCATTTAATATGTAAATCCTCTTTATAATATCACCACACAGAATACTTTCTACTTCTCAAAATAGCTCAACCATTTCAATTTTTTAGAATTCTTATAAGAACAAACAAACAAAAAAAAGAAAAACCACCCAAAACTCAGGGAGGTAGACCCTAGAGGCAGATCCACAGGTCAAACAGTCACATCTTATCAGTAACAAACAATAACAAATCATCTTCAAAGATCTGACCTGAATGACAAACCTTAACTTGTACACTTATTTCTGATATTCATTAGAAAATCTGACATGGACAATTTCTTAAAACTGAAAGTACTTCTGAGAAAATTGTTAGTAAGTATGAATTAATTACTGAAGATCAGCACTTAACAAGGAGCACTGGCATAAGTCTGTAATCACAGCAACTCAGGATGAATCAGGAGGAGCACAAGTTCTAGGTCAGCCTTAACAATTTAGCAAGGCCCTAAGCAACCAAGTGAGATCCTGTCTTAAAATAAAAACCTAAAAAGGGCTAAGGTGGTGAAGTGCCCCTGGGTTCAATCCCCAGTACAATAAAAGAAAAAGAGATCAGCACCTAGTTGAGACTAACTTACTGAAGAATTAGTTCTCTTTTTTTGTGTGAGTGGGTAGTAAAAGCAGTTAAATAACTTGATAGCACAGAATAGTAGATCTAGAGATCTAGATAAAAGTATATCACTGGGGACATCAGAAATTTGGACAACATGAACACTGGAGAAAAGATACTAATGAGAGTAGTAAGGAAAACATGCACCAATTTCAAAATAAAGGGACAGTCCACTGCCAAAGGAAAATAAGAAAAAACCTTCCTTAGTTGTTCAGTATCACATAATTCCCTTCTCGTATGCCTGAGACAATTCACTATATATGCAAACTCTGTTTTTTGTTTATGAAAGCATTCTAATTCAAATATCTCTTAATGTAGATAGGTAGACTTCTACCTATCTCTATATAAGTAAATACATATTTGCTTATAAATGGACAAAATATCTTAGGAAGGATATACAAAGATGACGACACTGATTACTTCAGAAGTGAGAGGGAGACTTAACACCCTATAACTAGATTACTTTTGACTTTTGAGCACACAAATGCATTCCCACAACTACCAACAATGTCAACAATTAACAACCAAAAAATGGTTGAAAACAAACTATTTCACACATATGTATATCTGATCTTTATAAGGGACAAAACATAAAAGCTGTCAGCAGACTAAAATAAATTACTGGTTAATTAAAATTAGACTATGATGTAACGGACTGAAATACCAATATAGGAAAAAAATCACCAGTACGGGGGAAAAAAACCCTCAATATCGTTTAGTATTCACAGAATTTATAGATACCATGGTTTTAACTAGAAAAGCAAAAACATTTTATTTCTCATCATCTATAGAAATGTAAATATTTCAAATTGCATTTACAAATTTTAAATAATTACACAAATATTATATATATATAATTTCTAAAGTAGTTTATAAAATACAGAGTAACAAGTATCTTAAAAGAAAATATATAATCTACTCTTGTTAAAGACAAATTTCCTGAACATTTTTGTTAAAAATTTCTTCATATTAAGGAATATTTTCAGAAATGAGCATACATCTTTTCCCCATTATATAATCTGTGCATTTTTAAATAGATTTCAGTGAAACATTCATACAAAAGAATGTTTTGTATGAATTTATTTTGTATGAAATTATTCTGGTCTTCATATCTATGCATAAAACATTTGCCTGTGTACATAATGGCAAACAGTTTATTAAAGAACAACTCAGCTGATCACCCAGCTTAACACAAAGTTTTAGACAACTAAATATTTTACCTTTTAATCCAGAGAGTTGGTATCATGTATACAGATAACAGCACAATTTCTTGGATTTTACTAATACCCCAAAAATGTTTATATCAAAGTACTGATTCAAATCTATTTTAGTACCTTAGTTAAAAGGAATTCTCTTGTACTACACTATAAACATCATTACTCTAACTACAGAAAAACTCAAGTTGTTAAATAAATTTAATTAAAAGCTCTGGTCTCTACGATTTAATCTTATAACTCTATCAGTATTTGCTTTTAGAATCATTTTTACTATAAATTAAAAATTGCTCTATTTACCAGCCCTTGTTCAAACAGCTCTTTTTCTTCTATCGTCCACTTTACTGAGTAACTGGCTGGTTTTGTAGGAGAGTGTACCCTGAGGGGAAAAAGAGGAATTGCAAAAAAATTTCTGAAATGGAACATTCCTTATGTATGCAGCTAAAGATTATAGATAGCCATGGGCTAAAACGAATCAAAGAATTAAAAAATAAAACAAAAAAAGAAGGCTACAGCCTCTACCTAGGGGGAGAGATTTACCCTGTCATGTATCTCTACTATGGATGATACGAACCCCAAAAGATATAATCCCCGGGTTTGAGTGAGGCTAAAACTAAAGACATCAAAGGAAGTCAATGTAATAACCAACAAAACAGCCCTCTTAGAATGAATACAAAGCAGCAGGTGTTAATACATTCCCCAATCCTAAAGGTATCTAAGAATTTACAATGATTCCAGAAATATCTCTAATTTAATTACTGGGTAAATCCATATAAATACTGAGCCAGAAAAGAAGTTGCAAAACCATGGCATTACACTTACTGCTTTTAAAATCATTTTAGTAAATTAAAAATAAAATGCTGATGAAGCTAATTCACTCAAGTCATTGATCTTTCTATTAATTTCACATTGTTATTGTTCACTCCACAAAATACAAACATCAAAGGCTGCTCAGTGGTCAAGTTCTTGCACAATCACCACTATGTAAATTATATAAATCCATTTTTTTTTATACTGGGGATTGAATACAGGTGTATTTTACCACTGAGCTGCATTACGAGTCCTTTATTTATTTATTTTGTTTGTTTATTTAAATTTTGAGATAGGGTCTCACTAAGCTGAGGGTCTCACCAAATTGCTGAGACTGGCCTTGAACTTTCACTCCTCCTACCTCAGCCTCCGAAGTTGTGTAGGATTACAGGCCTGTGCTACTGGGCCTAGTAATCAATCCATATTTTAACCAACTATATACTTACAAGTTTATAATGCTAAATAGTTTTTTTACTTACAAGTTTATAAATGCTAAATCAATATTTTCCAATTATTGGGAAAAAATATTTGTAAGATAAAGTTTCTAGATAATGCTTGAAAGCCATAAATCCAAATTAGATTTCTGCTGAAAATTAGTTAACACAGCAATAGAATTCAAGTTAATATACAATGTATTAGGTAATAGTTTCTTAAAATTTCCCCATAAATCTCTATGAATCTATCTTTCCCATAATTTGATGAATTGCCTCTATGGGTCACAAAAGAAATTCTAGCTAATAAATATCAACATACTTATGGCATTCTTACATCTGTACTAGAAACTCTGTTTTTAATATTTATTTTGTTTTTTAATCAAGAGGGCTTTTCCTCAAGATAACTATAATTTTTGAAAAATATTCCATAGTTTTAAATGATCAGAAAGGTTTTAAAAATATAAAACAGAAGTACATACATGATTTTTGCTGTTTTCTGCAGACTGCACCACATGAAAAAAAAAATAAGGAAGCTTGAGAAGAAATTTCTAAAAATGCATTTATATGTTTAACAGTTTAAATTGATTTTACCTGTTCGTTTGTTTTTTATTATCTTCCTTTTTATCAAGCCAGAATTTTCCTGGAAGTGATTTTTTAGATAAATAATACCTGTATGATTATTAAGGACACTTTTAAAATAAGATTAATCTCATAAAACTTTTATGTGACATATAAAATTGGCATTTATAGACTCATGAAAGTCATACTTTGTTTGACTTGGAAAACTTGAAATTCGCAAAACCAATTCTGAAAGCCTCTTCTAGGTCCACAAAAATTATGGTAAAAATATCTTACCTCAGTGTTGTTACAGGTATAAATTATATGTAATATCACACAATGCCTGCACAAAATGTGCTACATAAATGCTAATTTCTCTTCTCTATTAGAAGTGAGAAGAAATAGCCTTACTGTTTAAAACTTTTTTTCTAAAATATACGGGGAGTATAATAGATGAATTAGATTGGTTGTTTACAGTAATTTGAGAATATTGTTTCCATATTTCTAAAGATAACAGAGAATAGTTCAGCATTCCCCTCTACCCTAATGAAAAGAACACTGAGATCACATCTACAAAGGATCTCCTTCTCTGAAGTTCTTGAAACTAGCCTATTGCAATACTGTCATTAATCCAAACTACTATTTACTTTACAAATATTTATTGACTATACACTGCACCAGGTATTATGTTAGGTACTATGAGTTGAGGACAAAAAATATAAGCAGACATTACCCTGTCTTCTAAATGCTTATATATAATTCTCCTCTCATTATTATAATTTCTGTTACCATTTCTTAAGTAACTACTTCAGTGTTCATTAACCTAGAATTCTACCGTTTAATATAGTGGCTACTAGCCATATGTGACTCTTGAGCACTTAAACTCCATAACTGGCACGAACTGAAATGTTTTCTAAGGATAGAAAACACAGGGTTCCAAAGATTGAGTATGAAACAAAGAATGTAAAACATTTCATTAATAATGTTTACAAAAAATATTTTAAATGATATATTATTAGAATTATATATATAAATGATATATTATCAAAATAATTTTATCTGTTTTAAATAACTAGGAAATATTAAATTATATGTGCCTCTCATTGAATAGCAATTATTTAGGCTATAACTGCAATGTTTGGGAAATGTTAGAAAATAAGAAAGTCTATAAGAAGCTAACCTTTGATAATTAAAATCAACACAGCAATAATTGGGATGAATTAAAAATAAACCATAATTTATTAGACTATTAATAATCTTTATAAGTCATATAAGAAATCATTTTGTTCAACCTTTCCATTTAACATATAAGAAAACTGAGTCTCAAAGAAGTTAAATAACCAATATCACACACAAAGGAAAAAATGAGGACAATAAATCAAAGGCATTTCTGTGTATCAGTGACAAATCCTCTGAAAGGGAAATGAGGAAAACTACCCCATTTACAATAGCCTCAAAAAAAAAAAAAAATACACACACACACACACACACACACACACACTTGGGAATCAACTTAATGAAAGAACTCTACAATGAAAACTACAGAATGCTAAAGAAAGAAATTAAAGAAGACCTTATAAGATGGAAAGATTTTTCTCTTGCTCTTGGATAGGAAAAATTAATACTGTCAAACTGACCATACTACCAAAAGCACTATACATACTTAATGCAATTAAATCAAAATCCCAATGTCATTCTTCATAGAAATAGAAAAAATAGTCATGAAGTTCATCTGGAAAAATAAGAGACCCAGAAAAGCTAAAGCAATCCTTAACAAGAAGAATGAAGCAGGTGGCATCACTATACCAGACCTTAACCTATACTACAGAGGAACATAACAAAAACAGCATGGTATTAGCACCAAAACAGACTTGTAGACCAATGGTACAGAATAGAGGACACAGAGACTAACCCATATAATTACCGTTATCTTATATCAGACAAAGGTGCAAAAATGTTCATTGGAGAAAAGGTAGCCTCTTCAACAAATGGTGCTGGGAAAACTGGAAATCCATATGCAACAAAATGAAATTAAACCCCTATCTCTCACCATGCACAAAACTCAACTTAAAGTGAATCAAAGACCTAGGAATTAAACCAGAGACACTGCATCTATTAGAAGAAAAGGTAGGCCCAAATCTCCATCATGATGGATTAGGCTCAGACTTCCTTAATAAGACTCCAATAGCATAAGAATTAAAATCAAGAATCCATAAATGGGATGGATTCAAATTAAAAGGTTCTTCTCAGCAAAGAAACAATCGGTGAGGCAAACAGAGTGCCTACATTTGGGAACAAATCTTTACCACATGCACATCAGATAGAGCACTAATCTCTAGGATATATAAAAAAATCAAAAATCTCAACACCAAAAAAAAAACCCAATCAATTAATGGGCTAAGGAACTGAACAGACACTTCTCAGAAGAAGATATAAAATTAATCAACAAATATATAAAACAAAAGTTCAACATCTCTAGCAATTAGAGAAATGCAAAACAAAACTACTCTAAGATTTCATCTCACTCCAGTCAGAATGGCAGCTATTAAAAATACAAACAACCGTTAAGTGTTGGTGAGAATGTGGGGAAAAAGGCACACTCATACATTGCTGGTGGGACTGCAAATTGGTGCAGCCAATATGGACAACAGTATGGAGAAACCTTGGAAAACTGGGAATGGAACTACCATTTGACCCAGCTATCTCACTCTTCAGTCTATACCCAAAGGACTTAAAAACAGCATACTGTAGGGACACAGCCACATCAATGATTATTGCAGCACAATTCACAATAGCTAAACTGTGAGACCAATCTAGATGCTCTTCAGTAAATGAATGGATAAAGAAAATGTGACGTATATACAATGAAATATTATTCATCATTAAAAGAGAATAAAATCATGGCATTTATAGTAAATGGATAGAGTTGGAGAATATAATGCTAAGTGAAGTTAACCTATCCAAAAAAATCAAAAGCCGAATGTTTTCTCTGATTTAAGGATGCTGATTCATAATGTGGTTGGGAGGTGGGCATGGGAGGATTAGGACAAAGCGGAGGGAAGAGAAGGGAGAAGGTAGGGGATAGGAAAGAAGGTGGAATGAGGTGGACATCATTACCCTAAGTACATGTATGAAGACTCTACTTTGCATACAAGCAGAGATATGAAAAATTGTGCTCTTTATGTGTAATATGAATTGTAATGCATTCTGCTGTCATATATAACAAATTAAAATTTTTTAAAAATGAGGACAAGAGACTAGTGGCTGAGGCTGAAACATAGATAAGTAGCCACAATTTTGGGGATAAAATATTCATTCTACAGTATTTGCTTTATGTTTTGTACTTAAGATTCTTCCCACAAAACACCTGTAAATTATAGAGTAAAAAGTGAAAAGAACTTTTACATATTATAATTTTGAATCCTTAGAAAAATGAACCTCTTTTAAGTTTTAACTCTGAAAATGGAAATTGGCTTTAAGGTTCTGACTGACTTAAATATTCTATAGTTTCAATTCAGTACTCACATATCACGAAGTGTTGGCTGACAACAAAATTCTAAAAAATATTAAGTTGGATCTCAGACTAAGCAATAAAACAGAACTTGAAGAATAAAATAAATGCTTTCTCATAGATAGAAAATATTGTATTACATGATAGCAGTCTGTAACCAAGTAATACCCATCTAGGAACTAGAGTAGCCTCTCTCATCATTTTTACATTGATTTTTTAAAACTGAAACCATAAATGCCCCTATAATCACTAAAGGATACTCTTCTTCCAACAACATTTTCTCAATGACAGCTCTGTTCTCTTCACTGATGGTGCTATCAAGAGTCCAAGGCTATTAAAAAAAAAAAAAAAAAAGGAGTAAGAACACATATTTTTATTATGTTTTGGAAATATTTTTCATGTTTTAGTAAACAAAAATATATAATATTATAATTACAAATAATAACAGCTACTATGTATTGAGTGCAGACATCTTTGATTCTCACAAAAACTATGAGATAAAACTTCATGCTCACTGATAGCACTGCAGCATTTTAGGTGGAAGAAAGAGTCCTTAAACCAGCATTGTCAAATTCCAAGGCTCATGTTCCTCCCCACAATGAGATAATAATGGCTACTATATATGAGGAGTTATTAGGCATCAGATATCTTACTAGACACTTAACAAATTTCCAAAACTTACAATTCTTTTTTTCCCTCAGCCACAATCTCTCTGTGGATGATCATGCATATTTTCAACTCCAAAGTTATAAATTATCAGCTCATATATGTTCTCCAAGCTTACATCCAACTGTTCACTCAAGATTTCATCTTGGATATAATTGGCTTTTCAAATTTAACATATTCAAAATGAAACTTACCATTACATATCTCCAACTGCTTCTTCTGTTGCTTTTCCAACATAGTAAAAGGCATTACTAGTCACTAAGTTCCTCCATCTAAAAACCCAGTAATTATTGTGGATTCTTTCTTTTCCCCAGTCTCCATATTCAATCTGCCAACCAGCTCTACCTCCAAAATATAATTCAAATCTGTTAATGTCTCTCTCTTTTGCTACCACTAGGGACAAGCCACCATCATAAATCTTACTTAGATTACTTCAAATGTTTCCTAACTGGTCCCTTTGATTCCACTCTTGCTTCCCCTCCAATCTAATCTTTACCCTAGCATCCCAAATTAATTGTATCAAAATGAACTTACACATTTGAATAGAATCTATACCCTAAATTAACTGTATCAAAATGAACTTACCCATCTGTATAAAATCTATGTAAAGTGTTTCAATGATGATTCAGTTCTCTTAAAATAAAATGTAAGCCCTTTAACATAATTTAACTCACAAGCCCTAAATGACAAGAGTTCTTACCTGCTTTCACATCTCTCTTTCCCACTATATTCTAGACGTGGTATAGGGCTCCTTCCTTCAACCAGAGCTTCTGCAATTGTTATTCCTTTTACCTAGAATTCTTTTCTCAATTCTTCACATATCTCCCCATTCTTCCTATTAATTTTTAGCTTAAAATATCACCTCCCCAGTTTCCCTCATTGACAATTTATCTCAAGGAGGCTCCCCACCCTGGTATTCTCATCAGCACTTTATTTCCTTCATAATCTACAAATGGTTTGCCTACTTATCACCTCTCTCTCCTACTGAATGAATACAAACTCTTTGAAAGTAGGACCACATCTGTCTTGATTATAGCTGTATTCCCAAACCTGGACTAGTGTCTGGCATATAGTAGATATTCAATAAATAACTGATAAATAAAGAAATGAAAGTAGGGTTAATCCCCACTGTTTACTTGAAGAAACAAAGGTTCACAAACCTGAGAAGTGGCAGAGTCAAGAATTTGTACCTAAATCCAACTGGCTCCAAAGTTGTTTCTCAATAGGACATTTTTCAAAATTGAAAGAAAAATGAGGTTTCTTCCATTATGAAAATAAGAAAAAAGTTCTTATGTATTATCTATGTTATTTCTGAAAACTAGCCCTCTGTTAAAAATAAGAAAGAGGCACTCTGGGCAATGATAACAGTTTCATACAATACTTACAATAAGGCCATTCTCATTTCTCCATGATGAGTCCAGATAGTGATCTTGTAAAAGTGATGCTTTATTTTCATCATTTCTGTAATAATTAAGAAAATGGCTATAAGAGATAAATATTGGTTAATGGCTATAGCTCATACTCAGGGACTCTGGTGTAGGTTTCTTCTCCCCTTAAAAAGATTTAATATAGCAAAAATGCCTACTGTACCTCCTTGGCCTATAAGGAAAAAAATACCCAGGCAACAACCACAACATACTCTGTGGCCTTGAAGTACCACTTCAGTTTTGACTCATGTACTCATATGTGTAAAAGAACTCAACTTTGTAATTAAACCTTTTAACTATATCTAAACCATAAAAAACTTCCATCTATAGCATCAACCTCAAAATGAAGAAAAAAAATCAAAACTAGATGGAAAAATTAAAATAGAAATTACTAAATGAAGTTTTAATGACATCCCATACACTTTTCTTTTTTGTAATGGGGATTGTACCAAGGGATACCTCACCATGAGCTACATGCCCAGTCCTTTTTATTTTCTAAGACAGGGTCTCACTAAATTGCTGAGGCTGGCCTCAAACTTGCGATCCTCCTTGCCTCAGAGTCCCAAGTCGATGGGATTACAGTAGTGTACCACCACACCTAGTTCTACTCATATAATTTTTAAAAATTAATTTGGGTTATTTGGAGGACTTCTGTGTCCATCGGGGAATCAAACTTTATTAATTTTCTCACTCCTTTCATTGTACTAACAAGTTACAAAGTACACTACATAAGTAAAAAGGCTGGCTCGTTAAGTTCTCAGGACCACAAACTGTGATATAATTAAATTTAATATTTTGCTTTTGTACACTTGAAGTTACAAATTTTCTAGTAATGACTTTTCCCTGGCCAAACTTTTCCCCAGGTTTAAATTCAAGGACCAACTCTGATCTGGAAGAGGCTAAATAAAGGATTCTGTCTCTTGTATCAGCAAAAGGAAATATTTGCTCAAATAACTAGGTCTACCAAGTGTGTGGGAGTTGGGACTATTATCATTTCAAGTTCACTGCACAAATCTCTTCACATAGTACTCTCTAATAGGAAGGATTAGCAATATCTACACTCTGGTGTATGCATATGAACACTGCCCTAATCTCCATACATACCACAAATCAACATGTGTAAGTCTAAAATCACTTTTTCTCCCAAATCTGTTACCCTTCCATTGTTCTTTATCCCAGTTAATTGCACCATCACCTCCCTGGTTATCCAAACCAAAAGTCTGAATCTGCTGTTCTTTCTTCACAATCCTTATTCAGTCTGCTTGACAATTCTATTGTTTCTCCCTTTTCCAAACCTAGTCTTTCCACTGTATTCATACTTAGTTTGAGATCTCATAGTTTCAGACCTTACAGCTTTCCTGCCTAAGTATAAGAGATAAAGCCGACAAGCTATTCATCTTTCATCTTTTCTTCACTTTATTCCACCCGTCACTATAAAACGTCTACTGTCTATCTTATCCAACAGCAATATTAGTTCTGTATGAGGAGGGACTTGATTTTTACAACAGCTATATACCTAGGCCTGGCATGTACATGGTGCTCAATTCACACTTGATTGAATGAACAAAGTAGGTGGGTCACAAATCACACAGGTCTCTAGTAGGGAACTGAAGATTTATCACAAAATCAATTGGAGACTGAAGGGAATAATATTCACATTTGGTAAGAAAGACCCTATCTTTAGTAAAGAATAAAGGGGGTCAAGGAGACAAAGACCAGTAAAGAATCGATTATAAAAATACCAAAAAAAAAAAAAAAAAAAAGGTGGCAGCAACTTATACCTCAGGAACAAACAGTGTGACCAGAAGTAAATACATTTGAAAGGATATGTAAACAGAATGAACAGTTCCTTAACAACTAATAGAATGGGAAAGTAGAAAGAGTTAAGAAAAAGGGATGAAGTTTTAGATCTGTGTCTTATATGACCGGATGGGTGGCTGCCGGTGCCACTTAATAAACTAGGGAACATCAGAGAGGCAGGTCTGGTGGAGAAAGTTTGTAAGTTGAGATTTAAGTACTTGTGGGACATCCAAGTGCTGATAGATTCAGAGAGTTGAGTAAATTACTCTGAAGCTCAGGAGAAAGATTTGGGTTACTGACAGATTTGGGAGATATTAGCATGTATTAGGTTCAACTTGGGGAACTTCCATGGAAGAACACTGGTAAAATTTCATATGGAGCATCTAACAAAAATTACGTGACTATGAAGAAGCAGAAGACCTATGACAAATCCCTTTTTAATATCATCATTTAAAGAACAAGCAGAAGAAAAGGAAGACAAGAAAAAACGATAAGAACAGAAGGAAAACTAAAACGCCATCTTTTAATTTTGGTACCTAGCACTCAGAAAATGGTTAAAAGCAGTATGCTTTAAATTTATCTTCAAGAGTTCCACAAATGCTATTATCAGCTGTAATTACACATTTCAGGGGGCACCAGTTATACTAAATTCCAGATGACTGTAGCCCCATTTACAAGAACATAATGTCAATAAGTCTCCTTGGAATCACATAAAGCAATGAATCTGACCATCAGGAGCCAATAATCTTTGTAGTTCTGCTTGTATGAGACAGATTGAAGAGCCACCACTACACCTAAGGCTGAAAAAACAGGAAGGAAGAAAACGAGAAAAGGGAGAAAAATTAAACACAATAAGAAAAATTAAGATAAAACCATGAAAGAGGCATAGAGCCAAAATCCTCAGATGATCTTCCAAGGCAAACTCATTTCTTTATAGACTGCAGATTAAGTATCCCCGTCCACTTACTTCATTGACTTGTTATGAAACATAAATTAAATCAAGCATTCAAAAATACTTAAAATTTAAAGCCTACACAAATTGTGAACAATTGTTATGAAAGACTTCCTACTTATCTGTATAGCTTCCGACTGCTCTGCGTAAAGATCCATATTCCTCACATTTTTATAGTTCTTTAGAATTCACACTTGAAACTCCCTATCTTAGTGCCTCATGGTCAAGGTGGGTACTTTTCTCCTTCTGAGCCCTGATATCAAGAGGAATCACATGAAATTGCCACTTCACATGTCAAAAATGGCCTATGTAACGTAACTCGATGCAATTAGAACATAGATCTGATTTCTATTTTGTATAGACTTGAAAGGGACAGGGAAACCGAAGATGGTGTGTTGGGTCATTACTGAAAGGAGGCACATTTCTTACTTTGAAAGCAAAGGCGCAAAGGAGGTTGTTTCAAACCATATCATCCTGTTCTGCAGGAATAGGTACTAAAGGAAACCATCCCCGAGGATGAGGACTCATTTGATCTTCACAACGACCTTATGAGATATACATCATGACCCCCAACTTACATACAAGCAGTCTGAGGCTCAGACAAGTTAAGCGTCTTGCCCAAGGTCACAAGGCTAGTTACTGGTAGAACCAGCAAAAGCAGAAGGAAAGTCCAGAACTGTCCAGAACTCTAAAATCTGACCCCTTTCCTTTAACTCATGCTGCCTCTTAGGAAGTTTTTCGCAACTACCCCTATGTAGAAAAAGGAACGAAACGACTCGTCCAAGGTCGCACGGATAGCAAGCGATGGAAGATGAGTCCCTGAGCTCAGGTCCGGTCTACTAGGTGCCCTCATTCTAGTTACTGACGGCAGATTCTGAGGCAAAGGGAATGCAAGAAGGCATCCGAATTGTTGGAGCAAGTGCAATAAGCTAAGAGAAAACTGGTCCCTCACAGCATCTCTGTAAAAAAGTTAAAGAGCCATGCGGACACTTGAGTACCTGAGCTCAAGTACATTCTGCTGGGCTCAGGACAAGCTAGCGGGCGGAACCCGCGCTTCGACTTCCGGGACCAGAGGAGACTCTGGCCCAACACACCATCTTCGGTTTCCCTGTCCCTTGCCGGACCCGCAGCCAAGGATCCACGGTCCTCCCCTCGCATCTATGCCCGCCCCCATCCCGGGGAGACCCCGTCTCTGCGCCTCACCCTGGCGGTGCCGCCGCAGCCGGAGCCACCACATCCCCTTCGATATCCACATCTGCCTCTTCCGCAGCCATGATGGCACCTGACCCCGTCAGTCTTCCCGAGAGATACCGCGAGAGGTGGCGCGCAGGGGCGGGGCCGAGGTCGTTGCGTCACGGGGCGGAGTTGAAACCTCGCCCCGAGCTAGGGAGGCGGGACTATGAGAGGAACTGGGTCTCCAAAGGCGGGGGCTTAGTATTAAATGTTTTGACGTCTAAAGAGATCTAGGAAAGTCACCCAGGCAGGACTTCTAGGAGCTTGTGTTCCAGGACAGATTCTTTGACGCCTCACTTCTCTCATGTGTGCAATGGGGATACCAGCAAGTATCTTTCTAGTCAGATGAAAAAGTCAAATCAGACCTACTTTGTGAACTCCTCAGGAGGCAAAGGTGAAGGACTCTTTTGGGCTCGTTAAATATCTCTCTGTCGTTCTCTCTCTCTCTCTGGAAAACTTGACTTGTGTGAAGTGTAGAAAGACTTACATTTCAAAATGCAACAAAAATATATTAATATAACTTATGGTTGTGTTTTTTATGGCGATCTTTACAATTTAAAAATCACTCTCATGACTGTTGATCCTTATAATAACCCAGTAAGGCAAGCAAGGCCATATCATCAGTTACACTTCACAGATGAAAAACTGAAGCTCAGAAAGTTAACATGATTGCCCAAGGACAGCCCAAGGAATTCAGACCTTTTTGACTCTTCCCTAAGTGTTCACTGCATATAAATCAACATTGTTAGAAGCTCTTGAGGATAAACACCATTTCTGCCAAAAATTGATGGCTTTTCAAGAACTTAGACATTGCCCTTACACATTCCTTTACTTACTTCACCAAGGATTCCCATTGACTCATTTGTCTTCATCCCCCCCACCCTGCCCAGTTATGAATACTTGAAGGATAAAAACTGTCTGATAGTCCTTAAACTAACAACATTCAGCATGGTATCAGGAGTGTAGTAGTGCTCAATAAATGTTGAAGAAGCGAATGAGTCAGCAAAATGAGCTTATTTCCCACATCATTCTTAATTTGTCTCATCTCATTTTTGTTTATTCTCAGAGCATAAGATGGGCTGAACCATGAATGTAATGGAAAGAAGATGGAGAGAAAGATTTTTAAAGATGAGAACCCAGTGCTCAAAAACTGAACACTGTGAGTGCCCATTCTCAGGCCACCTGAGGGTGCTCTTCTGTTGTCAAGGGTCTTATCCAGTGACCAGCTCCCATGATAACACCATGTCTGCACAGAGTAGGTATTTTAAAGTGTCTGTTGAATTTAATTTAGAGCAGATTTAGGATTTGTTGTACATGGACGAGATAGTAAAAAAAAATGTAGAATGGAGCTGGGTGCAGTGCTGCATGCCTGTAATCGCAGCAGCTTGGGAAGGGTTGCAAGTTCAAATCCAGCCTCAGCAACTTAGCAAGACCCCCGTCTCTAAACAAAATATTCAAAAACCCTGTAAATGATGTTGCTCAGTGGTTCAGTGCCCCTGGGTTGAATCCCTGGTGGGAGAAGGAGGAGGAGGAGGAGGAGGAGGAGGAGGAGGAGGAGGAAAAGGGGAAGGGATGTACCTTTCACTGACATTTACACACCAGGTCTGGATGAGGACCCTGGCAACACTGGAAATTTGTTGTATCAAGTTCGATACAACAAATTAGTTGTATCCTAGAGAATAATACACAATACTGAACAGTGTTTCCTGCAGGCTTTTGCTAGTCCAGGACCCTACATTGGTAGGCATTGAAATATAGATGGAAGGAAGGAAGGAAGGAAGGAAGGAAGTCATCTCAATGCCTCCCTTGACAGAGTCCTTAGTTAGGAAAAAATATCAATTGAAATCCATCCAGTACTGACATGGCTGTTAGACTCACCATACCAGAACATTAAAGCATTCTTCATAACTGTATTGTGTAAATTCAATAAGTTAATAGAGGCACGGAAAATACAAAAAAAGGATAAAATTCAACTTCTGGGGATGAAAACTACAATGTGTGAGATGAAAAATACACTATCAAGATTGATGACATGTTAGATATTGATGAAGAAAGGATCAGCAAACTTGGATACATAACAAAAAGAGACCAAAAAAAAAAAAAAGGAACACACAGAGAAATAAAAAAAAATTAAAAATGAACAGAGAATCCATAAGGGAACTTCAAGCATCTCAGTATGTATGCAATAGGAGTCTCTAAAAAGCAGGGGTAAGGGATCATAGAAAATATCTGAAAAAATAATGCCTGAAAAGAATGTCCAAATTAGAAGAAAACTGTAATCTCATAGATCCTAGAAACTGAAGAAACTCCAAGCAGAAAACAATAAATAAAAAATATACTAGGATCCATTATGATCAAATTACTCAAAACCAATGATAAAGAGGAAATTTTGCCAAAGGGGAAAAAAAAGGCATATTACCTACGTAGGGACAAAGAATGACATCAGATTTCTTGTTGAGAACAGCGAAAGCAAGAAAACCTAAAAGCAACATCCTTAAAGTAGAGAAGGGGGGAGTGTAGCAAATCACCTCACTTAAAATTCTATGCCTAGTAAAAATACTTTTCAGGAGATGAAGGCAACCTAAAGACTTTTATATGATATACAAAATCTGAAAGAACAAGAAACATTAGAGGAGGGGGGAGGATGTGAAAGGCAGCGAAGCACAACAGACACTAGTATGGCAATTTGTAAATCAATGGATGTGTAACTGATGTGATTCTGCAATCTGTGTATGGGGTGAAGGTGGGAGTTCATAACCCACTTGAATCAAAGTGTGGAATATGATATGTCAAGAAATTTGTAATGTTTTGAACAACCCACAATAAAAAAGTTAAAAAGAAAAAAAAAAAAAAAGAAACATTAGAGGACATCTAATCAGGCAGAAGGAAATTATGTAAGATGGAAATATGGATCTACACGGAAGAATGGAGATCAGGGATAACAACTACATAGGTACATATGCAAGATTTTTTCTTAGCACTTAAATCTCTTTAAACAGAATATTAGCCATTTAAAAATAATACCAATATACTGTGAGATTCATAACATATATGCAAATAAAATGTGTGACAACAATGTAAAATCTAGGAAGAAAGACGTGCAAGCACAATATTGTAAGGTTCTTACACCATTCAAGAAGTGGCATAATAGCCCTTGAATATGCATTAGAGATTATAGTATAAACCCGTGCACAATTACTAAAATAACAAGACCATGTTTGAATGTTAAAATTTGAAAAATACATTAATAAATTACTTGCAACTTTTTAAGTAATAAAAGGGGGTAATTATTAACTTGCTAAGGGACACAGATTTAGGAAGTAATGGAGCAGGAATTCAAAGGGACAAAGATATTATTTTTCCTACCCCGGCCTGTCTTTCGTATGTGTGTGTGTGTGTACACATAGGTGTATCTTCAGAGTTAAGTAGGAAGACCACCACATCAGTGTAGAGATGGACAAGTAAATGTAAATGTAAAGAAATGGAAGGACATTTAGGCCTGAATGAATGTGCACATCTAAGTTCACAGTGTTAGATGCTGCCAAGCAATGTTGAAGAAAAAGGAAGCTGGAGTGTTATAGGTTGCTGGTTCTAATATGGCGGAAGATTCTAATATTTTTTGTCTCATTGGCCTAATCATGTATGCTCTGATAACTTCTATGGTAGGAGGATGATTTTTTTTCTTTTTATTGCTTTATTCCTATGGACTACATCAGTATTAGTTTCATAGCAAGCATTCAATAAATATTTGTTGAATAAATGATCAAAAAAAAAGACCAACCAAAATGAACACACAGAGGAATTTTTTAAAAATTAAAAATGCATAGAGAATCACTGAGTTGTAAGGCAAATTCAAGTTCCCCCAATATATACGCATTTGGAGTCTCTGAAAAGCAGGGGTGGGGGGTTTTGCCCCTGTATGAAGCCATTACATTGGAAACATAGCTGAGTCTCCTTGTTCTAACTCCAGATTCAGAAAGCAATAAACCTACATATATTATGACTTATCTTTTCACAAAGCAAGAGAATGGACAGATCATACTGATGGGAGCTTTACAGACAGGTGGCAGTTACAATTCTTGATGCAAAGGACAACTTGGCAGGCTGGTAAGCCAATCAGTCTTGTGAGCCTTTCAAGTAGTACGAGTCACCCGGGTCTGGCCTCTTTGCTCTTGGAGAGGACAAGCCAGTCTGCAGGCTCTTCAAGCATGTGTGCTCCACACATCCCTCCACTATCTGACCTTGTCACGTCACTTTTACTATTTTTTTCTTGTTTATTTACAAAAAAGCAGAGGGCAAAATGGTTAAATTCAAGCTAGTTGTCTTTGCAATTAACAATTTACTTCCTTTAAACAATGTTAAAATTAAAGTCTTATGGGGGATCATATATTTAGATTTTTATTTTGGAAATTAACTTTTATTTTTACTCTTAATCCTCTTAAAATGTCATTATATATTTAAAAATGCATAATGCTTATATAGAAAAGAACATTTTTATTCGTTCTGATTCTCTATTTTCCTGCAAACTGAATGAATATTGGGGTAATTTTAGACTGTAGGGGGAGAAAGATGAATTATGGATAGAGAGGATGTGCCAAGCCAATATGAACACCTGCCTATCCCAAATATCATGTAAGGCAGGATCTTCTTTGACCCTCCTAGGATTCTTGCCAAGAAAGTATTATCATCCCCAGGTCAGGCAACTTAAGATTCAGAGAGTGATGACTACATAGCTAGTGAGTATCAGAGCTGGAATTCCAGCCCAGGTCTTTCTGATTCTGTACTGACTCAAGTATACTTTCTTTTTTTTTTTTAAGTTATAGGACACAATACCTTTATTTTATTTATTCATGTGTGCTTAGGATCGAATCCAGTGCCCCACACATGCAAGGCAAGCACGCTACCACTGAGCCACAATCCCAGCCCTCAAATATACTTCCATATTAGTTACAGTTTGGATTTGAAATGTCCCCTAATGGCTCACATATTGAACGTATGTTCCCCAATGCAGCAATGGTCAGAAATGGGGCCTTTTGCAGGTGATTGGATCATGAGGGCTTTAATCTTTTCAAT